GCACTTTCCATTAGTTTGGCTGGTACACTTCCACTGCTTTGATTAGCTTTTCTTTTAAGAACTACCAGCCAACTTCACTGTGGCAAAGACTGTTAGTCTTTCTCACTTACAAGTTAAGCAAAAATAATTTATGAATCATTTTGGAAAAAAAATCCTGAAAATTAAGAACAGAATGCTAACAACTCACCAACTCACAAATATTTYTTTTCCCCTACTGCAAAGAATGCGTTTTACTGAATGTCTTTTAATGAGTTTTAACTTACTTTTGCAGTGCAAGACTGATGTACTATTTCTTCATATAGGAAACAGCTAAAACTTTCTCACAGTAAAACCCAAATGTAGCCTGAACAGTGTTTGCAGTCAATAGCATGCAATTCCTCAAGGACTACAGATTTCAAATACCTCCAGATTTTTTTTCACAGTAATGCAGGAGAAATGAGAGATTCTCCAAGAACTGAGCAGTTTTCTTTTACAGTTTTCCTGAGTCTACTGAAACAAACGTTCATAGTCAGAGGAACATTTTAGCTTTCATTTGGCATTTTCAATTCTTTAACTTCCAATTCTTCTTTTTCCATCTCGTGATTTAAGTATTGAACAACATATTCCACATGGACCACACAGGACATACCAAATTATTAGCTAAATAATTAGCAAATAATAGCAAATATTTAYGTATATAGAGATATGACTGGTTGCCTAACTAGTACAGGGCAGATTTCATTATTGCCTCTGTGCTGTCTTCATCACTGAAATATGCAAGACTTATTTGAAGCTGTATTCAATCTATCTGGCAATATGTCTATGACCCAGTTTCCCTTTTCTTGATGTCTTCAAAAATGCATATTGTTCAAAGAACTTCTTAGATTCTGTTGATAAAGCCAATCTAAACAGATCATAAACCAAATGCAAATCTTCCAACTCTCACCACTGGGTCACACAATTGTTTCTATAGAAATTTCCTCTTTAGTTACAAAATGAATAGATCTTTTTCTTTCTATTCAAAAATTGAGATTATTTAGTAAACCTTGATACTTCAGTAATAGGCTTTTTCACTTCCTCAAAGACGAGCTCTAGCTCAGCTCTGGGAGGAATAAATACCTCAAACTGGTAAAGGGACACCATTCTTTTCCATCATGATGTTCTAGTCTACAGCTTGTAATATAAGTAGCTAATAATATTAAATTGTGCTTAGAAAGAATGAAATCCAAAATTTCAGGGGTTTTAGTCTCAAGGTTAATGACCTGCACTAACGTACATTCCAATGGGCAAAAATATTGGCCTCTAGAAGCCCCATTTTCTAAAACTGATTTTTTTAAAAGTTAACTTTAAAATTTAAACTTTCCTGTAATCTAATTTATTTGGCAAATAGGGCAAACAGAAAGAGAAGAAGCTGCTAAAGCAAAGAATTAAAGTCCCTTGCTATAGTTTTTCATTTTCACTCCTGGCTTCTTCCCTATCCCAAATCATACAAAGAAAACAAAAGATGAAGATGATTTTTTACAGAAACAGCTCTGGAATTTTTATTATTTACCTTCATATCACAAGTCACTAGACTAGCAAASAGAAAAATGTAATTGCATACTGTTCATTTATCCAAAACATAAATGGAAGATGTGTGCATAAAAATCTCAGAATTTCTCCTCAGTGATAATTTTGAAGTTCGGACCAAAAGTATTTCATTTCAGTAGCTTCCTTCCTCTCCCACTTCCTTGGAAGTACAATTTAGATTTATTTACTGTCTGTATTGAATACTAAAGAAATTCTTCACTGCTCAATCAGCAAGGGACAAGTTTGTAAATACTTTTTTTCATTTCCTTCCCATTTTGAATACACAAGGATCTAAAATAGGTTATCTGCTTTTGCATCTCTCTATGTGCCCCTATACATATACCAAAAAAATCCCCAAGAGAAAAAAAAAACCCAAAAMCCAAACCKAAATAAAATCAGAGGAGGTTTACCACAACACCTGCTTTCGAATTATATCTGGAAGTATATGCAGAGCACCAAAAGAATTTGCAAAATAAGTAAGCCACTGGATTTTTTTCATGCAAGACACCTTAGCACATAGACTAAGTAATGGTTTTATCTGCTTGCAAATCTTTAATACTCGTGGTGAAAAATTTTAACTGAAATTTCTGTCTGTTTAGTTTTGAGATCTCTTGATACAGCCATTCTTCTGTAAGGTACATTAATCACAGCATTGCCCCTCTGACAGCAACAAATAGCAAACTTCAGGGAGGATAAGAACAGAATAAGAACTGAGAGTTATTCTCCAGAGGCACCTCCCAACCTTCAGTGCCGAGCAGATTAGGGAGTAGCTGAGTCAGAAGTGTTTTCAAAATGAACCATRATGGACTTYTTTTCTGAGTAATTTACCTAGCACYAAAACATACTAGGAAAGAATTCTCAGTAAAGGATAGAAGCAGTTTTCAAAKGTATTTTGTGCTGCTGGAGTATCACTAATGTTAACAGCCATATTAGACACACAGTACACATCTTTTCACATAAAATATTATCTATATACATTATTATTCAGGAATGATAAATAATTCAAATTATAGACCTAAGTGCTGCCTCACAGCAGTACCATTTTGTGTTCTCAATACAAGTTAAAATAAGTATTCTAATTTCAATGATATAGCACAGTAATCTCACTACTAGAAAATGCCATATCATTAGTAGAGCTGGTCTTAAACAGCATTGCAAGCAAACTTTAGCTCAATGGAATTTCAATGAAATCTTGAGTTCTTGTCACGAGGGCAGCTCAGGCTGAAAGTCTGAAGAATGGCCTAACAGCCTAAAGACTTGTTGTGCTGCAAATTTAACAGGATGTTTTTATATATGCATATATTCTAAATATAGTATGTGCAAAAGTTCATAACCTAATGCAGGCACCTAAGCTAGACTCCCATGGCCCATGGGAGACCATGATGAGGAGCCAGCAGCTCAGACCCTCAAGGAGCAGAGCTGCATTGGCAAAATGCTGCAGCCAAGGCAGTGAAGCTCCTCTCAGCCCGAAGCTTTTTYAGCTCCAACGCGATGCTGCAGACACGGAGCTGCTGCTCCTGCAGCAACCTCGGGCACCACCACACTCTGTTCACCTGGAGCCTCCCCAGCACCACTGAGAACACCTTACAAACACCCACGAGCACCAGGCAAGCTCTCCCACTCACACAGGGAACTCAAGCTGCTCTTTAGCCACTCCAMAGTGTTGAGAAAAGGAGGATGAGGTTTGATCACCTCCTCCCAAATATTCCAGCTAGCATTCACTCYTGCCAATTCAGAACTAGAACTGCACTTGTTCTTTGTCCCTTATCCTTTTCCTATCCATTAACAAGCTACAATTTARTAATAGAGGTAAATCTCTCACTTCTATCTCAAATTGTAACTACTTTCCCAAGCAGCTCAAGTTACTAAAATGCATATAATCCTGGACTTCATATATATGAACTTACCTTACTACCCCCTGCCTTCATAGGAAGCAAAAGGAAAGAGTAGTAAAAATAAAATAAAAATTAGTATCTATGACAGTAGACTAAAACATTTACCAATCTTACACAATATTAACATCAGCAGAAGAGAARCTAAAATACACACAGTAGATAGTCTGGTTTTATTCTTCACAAAAAACTTTTCTTTGAAATTTTAAGGCCTCAAATTTCTCAACAATGCAGRCAATAGAATTCTTTCATGAACTTTTATGCATTTTGAATCTCAATTTAACTACCTTACTACAAAATTAATTCTCTTAGTATTTTATTTGGTACTGGAAAACACAATTCACTCAGCTTCCAGTTATTGAAAGAAACACAAGAGGTTTATAATTTCATTAAAAAGAAAAAAACTCTTTAATCAAAGCTTTCATATCATACACATTATTTCTTTTTGATTTCCACATCAAATACATCTAATTAAAAAAGAGAAAGACCATTTCTCATTATAAATACAACACAGGGAACCACAGCTTTATACACAGGCATCCCACTCTCTCCTACAGCAACACAACTTAAAAACAAAAGGTGACATGAAACTCCCACAGAAGTCACRCTGCATTTCTCAACAAGGGTGTCACAGATGTGCTCAGCTTTGCTGCAGAAAGAGGCCTGAGCATTGCAACAGAACACCTGGCATTCCCACCAAACTTTCGGATCTCTTATTTCACTATATCCTTATACCTAGGTACACCCTGCTGTCTTCCTCACTTCCCTCTCTTTAGTATTAGCATTCCTTGATTGCCATGTTAGGAATCCCTCCTTCCTTCTCCATCACATAAACTATCCACATCTATTTTGTGAACGACAAACAGCTTTCAGGGTCCCATGCTCAGCTGCAGACTACATAACTGATAATGTCCTAGAGGTTATAAATTGATTTCCTTATTTCACATCTATTTTATCTTCTGGGTTTATTCTAGTCTGCTTCCTATCCCATCCTCTTCCAAAGCATACAAGAGTGAACCAAGATACAGAACTAACACTGCAAAGCAACCAACTTCATTTTCCAAGTTTCATTAACAGAAACTGCAGAACTGAAGTAGACAGAATTTCTCCAAGAAACGCAGAAGTTACATGGAGACAGAAACAATGCAAGGAGCAATTAGAGCTGAATTTGTCAGAGCAGTTCGTTGGCAAAAGCGAAAAATGGGAGAGCTGTCTACTAAAAGAATTGTACAGGTTCATGCCAATAATGCCATCACTAATTACTACTCAGTATTTAAGTTTGAAAAACAACATATTATTAAACACCAGAAAGTAACTCAAATATCTCAAGGAACTCCCCAACCATAAAAATATGCATACATCATTTGTAGTCTATTGTGCTCTCCAAAAAATAGATACAGCCTGGTCCTTTGGGTCACATTTCTTTTTTTCTCCAAAGAAATATTTAGATTCTTTTATACACATCCTTTTAAGTTAAGATTTATATATTCCAATATAATTTTGTTTCAATATCATCTTTTCAAGTTGATTTCTTGGCTAGAATTGTAATTTAGTAATTACCTTTCATCTAAGGTTGGCTCCTTTTGTTGCAGATGAGGCTTAATTCCAAACATTGGTCTAATGTTTGTTGATAAGGCTTTGATGGTGTAATTAATTTCATTTTCCCTTGTCACATCGCTGTCATAACCTAACAAAACCAGAGGAAACAGTATCACACCAAAARAAGGTACAAGAAAAACAATTCGATGCAAATTTACGCAGATTTCAGCAATGTAATAGGTTAAAAAAATTATAGCATTTATTATTAGTAACATAAATACACAACAGAAAGAAAGTAGCTGGGAATCATGAACACTTTTAATAAAAGACATGCAAAGAAAAAATTCCCTATGATATCTTTGTGGAAAAAAAGAATTATTGAAGAGTCAAAGGACTTTAAAAGCTACCCTGTTTCTGCTTTGCTGGCCTTAACTATGGTTACTAACAAAAGACCTCACTACCCGACACCTACCCTTAAGGTATTTTAAAAATGCTTGAACACTGAGGTGTCGACAAGGAAGAAAAACTACATGTGAGAGAAGAGAAAACAAGTCTGGAGGCTCATGAACCCTTAGAATTATAACATGAGAAAGACAATATAAGTATGGCAAAACCAGCAGAAGTTAATGCTATAAAATATAATTAACACTTTAGAACTATTAATATTATRACCTTGCAGCAGATACAGTCTCCTATGCTTCCATGTTATGCAAATAGATATTATAGCATCTGGATAACTATGMTCTCACATTATACAGATTTTAGTATAATTTCTTTTGAATTAATGACCAAATTTAAACTGTGATGATTCTATTTTATATAGAGAGATTTTGGGTAGCTATGTATAATTGACACTTAATATTTTTTTATTTAAAAGATGTCAAGAGTCTGTTTATATACTCTGAGTCAAAGCAGTAAGTCAAACACTTCATTATCATTTTCTTCACAGCAGCTTATCAGTCCTTTCCCCAAAACCAAATTTTATGTAACGTTTTTGAGRTCTTTCCCACTTAAGATCAAAACAATCTACAAATCATGATTACTTCTAAATTTTCAGTTTTCCATTAATAAAATCTTCTTGAAATAGCATAATCCAGCTAGTTCTATAAATTATAACTGACCTCCATCTTCTTCAGAATCTAGATCAGACTCTTCACTGTCACACTGCCTGCTGTCCCGATGTCCTTCCATCTCGTAAGTCCACAGCATTAAAGAGGTGTCTGCTCCTCCAACAGTGACCAACAGACTGTCATCATAGGTCCATCKGACATTTGTCACATGGGTACTGTGAGCAACATACCTCTTAAATTTACCAAACTTTCCCTAAGAAGGGGGAAAAAAGGCAAAGATCAAATTTAACTTCTTCAAAGATCATCTTAACTTCTTTACAGTTCATGCTTCAGCTGWTTTGTATTTCATGTGATTGTAACACATGATTTGCCAAGTGCCTCTCCTACAGAAACTTGATGAAATATTAACCTTATTCCTATATCAAGCATGCAAGAATTAGTTAATAAACTAGCAAAAAACACTGGATCACTTTTCCTAACAGAAAAAATAATCTGAGTTGGAACAAAATTCACATAGAAAATTTTGAGTCAGTACTTGTTTTTCCTATGCATTTTTCACTGTCAGCAGCAGGACACTGCATCAGATGGCTCTACAGTCTGACCTGGAATGATCATTCTTACTAAGTGCAAGTTTACTGCACTGCCAACTGCAATGTAATACTGAATGTTTTGATCAAAAGAAGAAAAACATAAAAGCACTATTTTCTTCTGAGGAATGAATTTTCAGAGTTTTGAAAAGGCATTCATTAATAAATATTCCCCATAAACAGCTGAAAATTACTTACTTTAGCAGGGTAGCGAAAGAGTTTCACAAATCCAAAATCATCTCCTGTGGCTAATACTTTACTATCACTAGTGAGGCATGAAGCAGTTACATCTGTGACTTCACCAATAATTGGCCAGATCCCTTCACAGCAAGAGCCCAAAACACTTGTCCATGATGCCCAGCCAATCTTTTCTACCTACAAAAACAGCACATTTGAAACAGAACATGCTTTTCCCCAGGCATTTTTCTTCCATATTTGATTTCAAGAAAAATTCATTGCACTGAAAGATACATCACATCTAAAATACTGTATTTTGATATATTAATCACTTATTTTCCTACCATTTAGGATTTCATTTGAGACCTGTAATTTTAAATCTATTAAGTTTCAATTCCAAAGAACTGAAGAAGTATTTTGAAAATTTTTACCTTACTTGCACTTTCATGCTAAAGAAAGCAAGTTATATTTTCCAACACTACCTTTCGACATCATGGGAAATAATAGAAAATGATCCACTCTCTGCCCTATGGCAATGCTCTATCTCTGAGAAAAAAAAACAACATCATAGCTAGAATATACTACTCTTGCCTATATGCATTATGTACACTATATTGCATTGTTATGTAACGACAAACATGAGGTTTTCCACAGCAAGGTTAGGGTTAAGTAATCTGCAATAGATTTTCAAAGGTKTTTTGATACCAGAAAAGGTACACAGAAGTATATTGAGATTTTCATKACTAAGTCAGCCAAATCTCTGTTGCTTTACAGAATAGAAAAATGTGAAATCCCCTACATATTTTACTGTTTAAAATGTTAAAAATTATAGTTTTATACATCATTCCCTCTTATGTAGTATAGAGGGCTGCATCATAACTCTAATTTGAAAACAAGAAGGCAGTACAGTTCCTTACCTCCAAACTAGGAATGGTCTGTTTTTTCCCACGAGGGGCTTCAAAAAACAACTGCTCTTTAGCACCAGTGTTGACTTGCAAAAGTTTCCCTATAAAACATATGACATATATATTTTGAATTTTTTATTGCTAACAGCATTACATCAATTACTTGTTTCTACTGGAAAAATCTGCATACATAAACAATGGATCTGGAAGTATGGTGTTCTAAAGAGATCTGAGTCCTTGGACCCCTTAAATTCACAACTCTTTCTCCTCTCTTTGACCACTGTACTAATGCATCACTTTTCTCTCCTTTTTATGGCTGTCCCATCAGATGGTAGACCACATGTCCTGGCTCTACTTCAAAGCTTGTTTCTGATAATGGCTATTGATGCACGAGCTCTTGGGAAGGAGAAGCACAGATGCTGCCTGGCCAAAGGCTGATCCCAAGCAGGGGAATTCTTTGTCTCTTTATGCTACTTCATTTCTGAGGGAAATTGTCACCAATGTTTCTGTCCTCTTCCTTTTCAAAATTCTTAAAGAAAACTAACTTATATCACTCTTTCAAATTAAATCAGACTGTTCCAGAAGTGATTATGTAGAGGAATAAGAACATGAACTAATGCATAATTGCACAGCCTTGCCTTTGAATGAAACAGGACTAAGTTTAGTCTTTTAATTAATCACATATTAATACCCTGGAACACAGGAAATCCAGTCTTTCTGCTGTGTGTTACAGCAAGGATAGGTATTCCTGAGCTGCACATACAACACATTGTACAGTGTATTATTCAAGAAGTAGAAATATAGAATCATCCAATGTTTGGAGTTGGAAGGGACCTTAGAGACCATCTAAGTTCCACTCCCCCTGCCACTAGACCAGGTTGCTCAGAGCCCCTTCCAGCCTGGACTTGACCACCTTTAGGGAAGGGGCAGCCACAACTTCYCTGAGTGGCTGTTYCCAGTGCCTCACCACACTTAGAGTAAAGAATCACTTCTAAATATCTCATCTAAACATGATCTCCTTCAGTTTAAGGCACTTCCCCCTTGTTCTATCACCAAATGTCCTTGTGAAATCAAATAATAAACTTAAAAGATTAAAAAAAATCTAAACCAACCAATCTACGGAGACAAACTATTTTACTTCAAATTGCACAACCTCTAAATATGTATGTGGCAGCAAAAATCATGGGCTCAATATTTATCCAGATGCTATGAGAGCATATTAGCAAGCTGAAGAAACAAATCTGCCAGTGATAGCACAAATGCATACTATAGATGTACCGCACTAGTTTATAATGTACTCAAACTTCCAGCACATCTTGACAATGAACGCCATTTACCTCTTATGTCCCAGTCCATGTGCGTGATATAGCTGGAGGCTCCCTTGCAGATTCCTACTCTTTTACTGCTCATCACATTGTAAATATCTACAAAGTTGTCACAGGATGCCACAGCTAAGTACTTTCCAGCCCCTAAAAAATACATCAGTACAAACACAAATCATTTACAAAAATAATAGGGCTCTGCATATGAAACACAACTAAATTCTGGAACTTAGTTATCTATATGCAGCTCAGAATTCTTTGATGTCAGCTTGCTAATTTATACGTATTCTCCAACAAACTGCTGCTTTTCATATCACATAATCAGCATGAACTACTCAACTATTATAACATTACATTTTCAAACAAATAAAAACCATGTGATGAAATTTTAAGTGCTTATGGCATTCAGAGAATGATAAGGCTTAGGGAACCAGAAAGAAATGTTGTATGAGAATTGGTATCAGTAATCTGCATCAAATTTCTCCAACAGATGAGTATTTTAACTGAAGTAGGCCATGCATTTTTAGTTCCTAAAATATGAGCTACAGGTTGGGAAAAAAACTAGCCTCACTGGGAATGCTAAGGGGGGAAATAAGAAAATAGAAGTTGCTAGAACTTTCCAACACATCAGTTTCAAGTATTCTCATTAGCTAACAGTACCTCAGTGAAGTGSCAAACTTGTGCAACTCCTAAAGTGGAACCCCAGGGAGCTGCTGGATGTCTGTGATCTAAAACTGACTGTTGTATTCAGGAGGTTACTGTAAGAAACCTATTCCAACAATCTCATCCTTAAATGAGGAACACAGGACTTCACACACCAGTCTTTCAAAATGYTAGTATTAATTTTGCTGACCTATTTTTAAAGTACTACAAATGTAAAAGTAAAGGACTACAAATCTTCACTAYTTTTATCTTTTAAATGTGATAAATCTTACTTGAATAACCTTGATATTAAAATCTTCATTTAAAAAAAAAAAAATCACTTACCAGGAGAAAATCTGATCTCTGAAATAACATCTTTCCTGTGCTGGAAAGAGACTAAATCCTCTAGGGTATCTGCATTAACTATCAAAAAACTTCCATCATTGAGACCAACAGCTAATGCTTTTCCATCAGGAGAAAAGCAGCAACATCTGCCTCCTATGAGGAATAAAAAAATTGCATTCAGATACATTTACAGTTCATTATTCTTCTTCTAGATTTTTTTTTCCATTAGTAAATGAAAGCTATTCTTATGCTATAAAACTATCCAGGAAGTTCTCTAGATGCTGCCAAAATAATTTCCAAGCTTTGATAGCACACAGACAGGTACATAGGCCCAGAATTTTAGAATTTGCATATTAATTGACATATGTTCTATATTARTAATACAGATTTATTACTATTGTCTCTATATTTTTAACTTGCTCTCCTTCTTTGTATCCATTGCTGTCTGTTTSTTACCATTTTCTCTGATAAGGAGAACACAGCTAGAAAAGACCTCTGGATTCACAGAATTCAGTCATTTTCTTTCACAACGTCATCAGGTCATACAATCCTTCCCATAAACATGCCAAGTGTTATTTGAAAAACAGTTTAATTTTCAATCTAAATTTATATATGGTCAGCTTATACAGACTTATTTTCAGGCCAGAAATTTCCATTAACAAAAATATTTCCCTCTACTATTTGTTCCTCTGATTAACTTGTAGACAGCAATTTTTTATTTAGATAGCTTCATCACAAGGCTTCTCATTCATTATCCTATAGGTGCTTTCCTCACACTCAACTTTAATTCCATTCAGCTGAACAGATGAGAAATGCACACCAAAAATATCCTGATTTGTGTCTTGTAAATTACATGACTACTCCAATATGTCTTGGGAAAAATACCTCACTGTCACATGTAATTGTCGCCCTCCAATCAGTAACAATATCCTGAGTCTTCTGCTCTTTAAGTTACTTCTGAGCTACACAGACATTTTTATTACAGTCATTGGACCTTGCCTTTTATAATTAACAAACATCATTTCAATTCCATTACTCAGCCTGCAGAAGAATCAATCTTTTACTTCACAGTATACAGGTACTTTTTAAGATTGCCAAAGCATCTCAAAATATGTCTCATCAGCAAAGAGTCATCAGAGGCTTTTTTTTTTGCCAAAAGTACTCTTAAAAATATTAAAAACCATCAGCTTTAAGACTTGAGCAGAGTTCACCAACTCAAAACTTCCTTGCTTAATGCCTGCTGTGTGAGCTTGTAACTCTTCTCACACTTACTTTAGCAATCTAAATTATTTTCAATTAAGCTTCCCATTATGTTTGCATCAAACTGCATTGCTGAATGCCAAACAAATAAAGYCTATTGTATTCCTTTGTCTAACAAAGCATACATAGCATTAGGAGCTTGTTAGGGCCAGTCTAGTCTAATCCGAAAAGAGTCACCTTATATGATGTAACTTAAAACAGCTTTTCCATCTGTMAAAATAGAATTTAGTTATACCCTAAACAATGCGTAAAAATGCTATGACTTCTCTTTTCTTGACATTCAAGGCCCTTCAAACATTCACAAAGAAAAGAATTTCAACACTACTTCTAAAACTTGCAAAAATTTCTAGATTCAGTGTCGAAAAAGTTTTGTGGTATTACAAGCAGCACAGCATTTATGCAACTGGCTCAATTTTTGTTGTTAATTCACTGGCTTAAATAATATACAGTTCTAAATAAACCTCAGAGCAGTAATACACAGAATTTTTTTGGTACAGATTCATTAGCATAAGGGCAATGTAACTCATGAACATAGCATTAATAAAGCAATTTGRAAAAAAAAAGGAATTTATTCAGTCCTGCTTTCAAAAGATTCATAATGTTTGTAAATGTCAATTTCATCAGCAAAATATTTTTTCATACTAAGCATCTTACCCTTTTTCAATTTGCGAACAGCTAACATACAATGGCTAGGAGATAAATCCCATATTCTTAAGGTTTTGTCATCACTTACAGTGGCACAAATAGGTAAATGAGGATGAGTAGCTAGACCCCAAACTTCCCCCTCCATGTGACCCTGAAAAAAAAAACAATTAATCAGATTTTATTTTAAATTGAAATATAAAATCATACCTTTTAAGGAAGTTTAAAAAAAAAAAAAGAGAGAGAGAACATGCATTATTTAGAGGATCATAAATATCTGAATAAAAACATAAACACCTGAAAAAAATTCACTCTGCTACTTGCACAAAATTATAGTAATTACTCCAGAGGGACCTGAATGGGTCTGACAGGCAGACCCACGCAATGAAGCTCAATAAGGCCAAGTGCAAGGTCCTGCATGTGGATCAGGGCAATCCCAAGCATGAACAYAGACTGGGCAGAGACTTAGAGCAGCCCTGAAGAGAACGTGGGGGGGTTTGGTGGACAACAAGCTGGAAATGAGCAGGCAATGTGCACTTGCAACCCAGAAAGTCAACTGCATGCTGGGCTGCATCAAAGGAAATGTGACAGCAGGTCAAGGGAGGTGATTCTGCCCTCTACTCTACTCTGATCAGACCCCAGCCCTTTGTCTGTCTCTGGAGTCCTCAGCACAGGAAAACATGGAACTGTTGGAATGGATCTAGAATAAGGCCAGAAATGGTCAAAGGGCTGGAGCACCTCTCYTATGAAGTCAGGCTGAGAGAGCAGGGGGTGTTCACTCAGGAGAAGAGAAGGTTTCYGGGAGATCTTGCTGCAGCCTCTCAGTGGTTAATGGGAGCACATGAGAAAGATGGGGACAGCTTAGTAAGGCTTGTAGTGAGAAGACAAGGGGTAATGGGTTTAAGGTAAAAGACGRTAGATCCAGACTAGATAGWAGAAGGAAATTTTTTATGATAAGGGTGGTAAAACACCGGGAKAGGTTTCCCAGAGATGTTGCAGATGTCCCATCCCCAAAAACATCCAAGGTCAGATTGGATGGGGCTCTGAACAATCGGATCTATTTGAAGATGTCCTTTCAGGGGGTTTGGACAAGATGACCTCCAAAGGTCTCTTCCAACCCAAACTATCATATGAACTAGATTTTTTCTTTACCTTAGGTTCTAATATTTTCTTTCAACAAATACAGTTCTTTATCTATTTCACTGGCCACTCAGAAAGGAGAGACTCCAGAGACTGTAACTTAAATATGTAAGAAAATATGCTGATGTAATATAAAAATATGTTTAGTAGTCAGACTTAAAAAAYGCAGTTGTTTGATTTGGCAAAGAAAATTGAAACCTTTATATAATTAATTACAAGTAAAATCTCAAAACAAACATCAAGGAAACAACATTTAAAAGTATGAGTAACCAGTACTCAAGGAAATTTAATGAGGAATTTGGTGGAGGATCCACTATTTCACACACACTTTTTTCAAAAYGATATATGATGGTCTGTTTGAAAGGATGAACTCATTAGACAACCTAGTAATGAAATTCTATGTTCTATTTTGCTCATTAAGGAGTCATAATGGTCTAGTCTAACTAAAAGTAATAGTAACTCACTAACTTCATTAGTAGTTAAATGCTTCTTAATCCACATATCTTCACTTGAACAATAAAATCATGTTTGTGATATGACATTTTTGACTAATAGTTAATGTACCTGAACCAGCAGAGTTATTGGTCCACTTTTATCCACCTCCAATATTTCACCATTCTTTGTGCCCACTAGAATATGACCATGTCCTAACGATATGGCACGTATCGAAGGATTATCTTCTAAGAGGAGACCTAGAACATTAAAATGTTAAAAAACAGAAGATTCTCAAGTATGCCTTAAAGAGGATTTTTCACACTTATGCACATTATATTCTCACTGTAGAAAAAGCTACTCAGTAATAAACAGTARAAACACTCCTGCATTGAAACAACTTAACATGTTTGGATTCATCTGGGAGGGTCAAGAAGTTTAATCAGACTGACTCTGTGCATGTGAAGTATCAACTGTACTACTCTATTGGTACCAATTACAGTACCTTCAAATCTAGCTTTTGGTAAACAAGCTATGAGAATGAGACACTGGAATACAATATTTTCATTAATGAGTATTTACATTTACATGATGTTTGAAAATCAAATCATATACTTTAGAATACAGCAAACATAATTTTAAGGGGAGGGCATGGCAGAGAAAAACGCTATGCAGAATGAAAATACAGGGAACTGTAAATTAGAAAAAATATTTCTTGAGAATAAATAAAACTTWAAAAAAAAGATCATTTTAGTATTCAGTATATCAAATGTGGATTTCCTCCTACTGGGGAAAGCAATTTCACAAAGATTTCTAAAGAAAGTACTTTAAATAGAACAAAAAATAGGATAAAGTCTGTGTTACCTTTAGATCCAGGAGCCAGAGCAGCCCTTTTGATGGCATAGGTTTTGAGACAACGTTCAAAGGTATCGTCCCAGAGAGCTACTACCCCATCCTTTCCTCCAGTGACAAAGCCCTGGGGGAAAGGAAATAAAAATCACTAATTATAATTGATTTTTATCTTTCCTTAATTTTTCAGTGATTTCTGCCAGTACTGAAAATGGACTATATGCAACACTGTAATGTACAGAGCTACAGATGTTAGAGATGAAAAGAACAGGAGCAACAAAATGAGTGATTTCTCCTCCTGATGCAAGCAGTACAGTTTTGTACAGTGCATGCACACAGGCTCGATTTAGAAGTCCGAACCTGTATACTTCTACCATTCTAGAAAAATAAGAAAACATACTACAGTGCTTTTCTTGATACTTAGACTCCATATCCCTTTGGCAYGTCACCTCAATATTCAAAATACCCCTGTACCCCTGACAAAAATTTGATTAGTTGTTATATTTTTCAAATATACCCACACTTTTGCCATTCTGTCTTTAAAAATTATATCCAGGTATTTAATGAAGCAGCAGGTATGGTTAATAGTGAAATCATTAGTACTTTCCTTCKGAGCACTCAGTTCTTGCAGTATGAGTAACACATGTGCTGCCCAATGCCACTATTCTGAAATGCAAATATTGGGAGGTCTAACCTAGCAAAACACCAGCATATACATAACTTCAAACACAAATAATCTAACTGGAACACTCATTCACATTTAAGCACATGTTTAAAGGCTTTCCTGAGCTAAAAGAAGCAAGAATCTGGAGAAAATACTTAATGATCAACAGATTGAGTGCATCTATGAGTAGACAGAAATTACAGCACAAAATACAAGTAYGGTCTCCCTCCCTCATAATCTCACATATTCCAGTGAACTTACAGATGCTTAAATCAGTTACTGTCACTTCTTTAGAAAAAGGATGTGTAAATTACTGAATAAGATGTCACTGGACCACAAGGGTTTCAGAAACAGCATGCTACATAACAAGAATAAGAGACATGCATAAACCACTATTTTGAATGTGGACCACACAAGGCTTTTCTGTAATGGAAATAAGGACATGGATTCCTGAGTCTGGGAAAGGTTTAGCTTTATCATAGACTTTCTTGTCCAGACATTAAAAAAAAAACAATGAGCAGTTTATTTACTTTTTCCAATGCGTGCATGCTGAACACAGGACCATCATGTGCTTTGACAGTTTTTATGAGAAACACATCTCTCCAAATACACACATCCCCCGTGGAGGTTCCAGAGAACGCCATCTCTTCAGTCCAGCCATATACTGCACACATCATTGTGTCGGTTCTTCCCAAAGCACCTATGCAGCCCTTTTTCCCAATTAGTCCTCCTCCTGGTTCAGGCCAAAAACAAGTCATTAGACATCTGCTTAGAACTATTTTACAGGAAATATATATCTTACCAAGCAACAAGTCCTTTTCTTTTAGTCTACCCATGCTCCCCAAAAAACAGAGTCTGAAAAGAGATCTCACAAAATAAAATTTCTTATTATTTGTCAACTTTCACAACAGTAAAAACCAGAACCAAACAAACAAAAAAACAAAATCCAAAAGACCCAACCTTACTTTAACTTACTACTTGAATCTGGATTTGATTATGTACATATACCCATAAAGACATCAATAGACAAAGTGCATTTGTAAACCTGCCTCTAAACAAAAAACTTAACCCATACCACACACAGTTCATGCAAATCATCACAATGATATAAAATAAAACGGGAAAATTCATATGATATAACACAGAAGTCCCTCAGGATCAATCTGACAATTTATTTTGTTCTTGTACTGAGAGATCAGGTCTTGGAAGCCTCTGCCTTCACTTGGCAGTGACGACAATTTAGCCCAGAGTATGTACTTCTCAATCAAGTGCACCCACTCTGCTGCAGATTTCAGAAAGCTGGCATTTGTTAAGGTGCACTGATACTCTGCTCCTCACACTAACACTGCTGAGGGTATTTCTGGGAGGGGTGACTGCCTTGCCAGTGTGCCACTGAAGTTTCACAAAGATGGGCTGCAGCATTAGAGAAATTTGATTACTCTGACTGAGCAATGCCAGAGAGAAAAGCAGCATTTCAAACAATTTCCATTCTTTCTTCAAAATCACCACCTCCAMGCTTTTATCATAGTTAAGATTTCTTTCTGAAAAATTTATAGTAGCTCTTTTAGCATTTATTCTGAGACACTTTGTCCTTTCTGCAGAGAGTATGGTCAATTGTGAAAATTAATAATTTATACAGTCTTCAACAGCTTGCTCTCAGGCAAGCTTGATTAATTTTTGTTGGAGCCAGAACTGAGAAAAACTGCAATTCTTTTCATCACAGAGTTTTCTCTACACAATTMATCTTTATCAGGACTCATGTGAGCTGACGTACATAAATTCTGCACAAATAACTAGAATATTCTTAGCAGATGAGCTAGTCTTCTGTAGCATATACGTCTTTATATGTCATTTGAAGTCTGAAACAATGAAGTTCACACAAGTATCAGGGAATGGGTTTTCACTATTCAAGACTTCTCATGCAGAAATAGCAAGCTGTTTTACCTTAGTTTTTAATTGTATCTAGAYAAACAGCTCTCAAGTGGCAGCTGTGCCCTCTTCAAGTACTTTGTCTGAATTTTGAATGTGAATATTTCATAACCTTGAAATTMTTTATACTTGTGCCTTTTTATAGCATACGTGCTGTAAAGGTCCTTTTTCCAAAGACTGATTTTAGAGCAGCTCTGAAAAATTTTCAGATATGCTATATTATTACTAGATATAAAAACAGACAGTAGAAAATCCAGGGTCTTATGTAGCTYCTTCCACTTACGTAGCTCCATGGCAAATTGATCTTAAAAAGAATTTCCACTACTGTCATAATGCCAATTAACATTATTACTGCGAGAGCAAAGCTAACTAAGAGATATACAGGGAAAACATTTGCCTTTCATGCACAAGATGCAACAGTTACACTTTCAGTAACAGAAAAYGCTCTAATTCTGAAAAGTGTCCTTACCTGCTCTCCGCCAGAATTTCATGTGTTTAATTCCAACTGTAATCAATTTATCAGGCATGTAGGGATTAATCTTAACAACAAAAATCTTATCTTTGCTTCCCCTGCAAATGCAAAGCAAAATAATTTAAATAAAAGTATAACTCTCAATATTTTAATAGGCTTTGGGGTGTTTTTTCATGTGTTTTTAGTATATACCTGCTGATCTTGCTAACATTTACTTTCAAATCATTATTATTAGTTTATAATGAGGAAGTAGAAAGCCAAAGAAGCAACATACTGAGTCCTGGTCTATTTGCAATACCCTTCAGTATCCAAGGCATTATATTACTTCAAAGATGCACTAGGAGACATTTTCTTTGAAAAATAAAATAKATTTGCATAAGGCATTCATATCTTTGATAGCTCATAAGGACACTTAAAGGAGTAAAGTTATAAATCTTATTTCAAATTTGCTCCTTTTGAAAACAAACTGCCTTTGTCACTCACTGGTTAGCTGATTTTTCTGGTTTTGTTAGAATAAAACTTAGGCTTMTACCACATTTTTAATGTAAATTACAGTTGCTTCTAAAAGCTCTTGTGTGTTTTATATTTCCTGCTATGCTTCTGTAAAACTAATACCTTGCTTCAGTCCTGCAATTTCAAAAACAGCTTTCAACTATGATTGCTGTCTATGCAAAGAAATGCTTATGCATGGTTTTTCTTTATTTAAAATGCAGAAGAGCTCCCAATCCCTAATTTTTGCTCCTTATTCAAAAAAGGCAATAATCTTTTATTTTCTGTCATTTCATATTACTAARTGAACTAGTGGCAGAAAGCATGAAACAGTTTCCAAATCCCAGTCATCTTCAAAATACAGATGCTGCTCTCAAAAATTCTAATTCATTTTTTGTATGGGTAGGAGAAACGGAAAAATACATGAAAAAAGCAGGTGAAAGGCAAACAAATGTCTTCAGAGAAGCCAAGCTAACTGAGCTTTTGACAAGTAATTGGGAAGGAAGTACTCTTCTTTATCTACATCATCTATYCAGAATTCTCATTCTTCAGTGGATAAGAAATTCAACATGTGTTTAAAAGTAAAATGAGAGTAAATTGAATTAAAAAGTAATAATGAACTCAATGGATAAAAGGAAAGCTGACACTTCTTTAACAGTACTGCAGAGAGTAATAAATCTCTTATAYTTTAAAATATAAGACTGAATCCAGACCAAATGAGGCAAAACTTACTCAMATTACTGCTCTACTTAAAGCAATAGATCCTTAGGAAAAAAGAATTCAAAGGTTTTAATACATTATCCAAAATTAGAAATAGGATTTGATCTTGTAGATTAAAACCATTCAATAAACATACATTAAATAATTAGTGCAGAAACAAGAAACTTCCAAACAATTTAACCTTTAGAAGTTATTTACGCCAATTTCCTGCTCAAAGACAAGCTGACTTCAAAGTTAGATGAGGCTGGTCAGGACTTTCTTTTTCAGAAAAGGAAAGAACCGTGAAGAAAAAAAAACTCTGCAAAACAACTGCAAATGACTATCCCAAGAAAGCTAGGATGAAAAGGATCTGAACAGATCATATATCACAATCTTTGAGAGGGCAAATAGAATTGCATAGACTTTTAAAGAAATTATTTCAGAACACAACAATGTATGTCTTCTTTCTTCACCAATTGAGCTCTTGTTGACTATCAGAGCTTCATTTACTTCATCCACAGGAAGTTTTAATGCTGTGATAAATGTTATTGTCTATATSATTTAAGCAATAAAAACTGCCAATTTATTAGAGAACTCTTATTCTTTAATATATTTTGCTTACTGTCATTTGATAGTAAAACTAGGTACAAATTTTAAAACATAGTTAATTCCTACCTTACTGCTGAAAGCTTTTCTCCTTTCTTCCAATCCCAGAGTACAATAGTGTGACTGTCATCTATTCCAACAGAAGCCAAACGTTTCCCATCCGCTATAATAATAAATTTATTATTAAGAGAGTAGATAGATAACTATGTTGCAATAATAAGAAACCATGTTGAAAATATTGTAACTTCACAAATATTATAAGACTGTACAAACAGGTGAATAAGCATATGATGCATTTAGAGGAATGTCTTTTCATCCATTTGCTTTTAAACTTGGAGGAAGTGTAGGACTTTAAATTTTCCGATCTAAAACTTGCGCTTAGATGCTCCCGGTTTGTGTTAAATCCCTTGTTCAGTTAGCTGCTGACATAATTGCACAAAAACATTCACCACAGGTTGTTCTTGTAAAAATTTTATGTTCACTCTGAAAATCTCTTTTCACTTCTGAACAGGGAAAAACGGAAGCAATATCATGAAATTTGTGAAATGCTAAACTTAGTAGTACTATGAAATCTTGGAAAAGTTTTGACACATTCCACATTACCCTCTAATAAACGAGCTATTTGCGCTCACTCAAGAACAAGGACTTTCTGACATGTATCCATCTTTGAAATTTCTTTTTCAATTGAAAATTGAAATCTTTGAAATATGTATCCTTGCCAGAATCTGAGATTCGTATCTTAAAAAAGGAGAAAAAGAGGCATCAAAGACTACTCATCTTTGTGATCACACATCTTCACTGTGAGTTTAGAGATCTTACTCAGTAAATCCAAACAATTAAAGAATGAATAGAAGCTAGTGGAGCAGAGGAAATTTATTATTGATACTGGAATTCAATGCATGGGGTGTAAAATCTCAAGGGATTTAACTAACAGTCTCTTGTGTTTGTATGAGACGGAGAGAGAGCTGGTGTTTCTGACCACAACAACTCCATGACTGAACTTTCTGAATGCAYCAGTGTGCAACTCAAATGGTTTTTGGGATTTCATTCTAAAAAGAAAAAATTGCACCTGCCTCATACAACCAAAAGAAATTCTGAAGTGCTCAGCTGAGCTGTTAAACAGCAAAGTACCTGTTCTGGCCCTTCCTATGTGCAAGACTCCGAAGGAGGTCTCTAATGAATGTTCATTTTAAGACAGCCTCTCTCATTTGACATTGAATACTGGAAAATATTTTTTCATACAAAATTTTCACTGTAAAGAAACCCCCAATTTCTTAGTAGAACTGATTAGCTTGTATTTTCASACAGAAAACAAAAAATGCAAATAAATAAATAAATAAATACTTATTACCTGAAAAATCAACAGCACAAACACCATACTGGTGATAGCCCTTTAATACTGAGAGTGGCTTTATTGTTTCTGTATCCCAAATGTGTATTGAGGAATCTCGACCAACCTGAAAGTATACATATTCATAACCATTTGTTTTTCATTTCTCAGTTATTTAACACAGTTGTTTAAAAAGTGTAATAATGAAAAATACTTCCAAAAGTATTTGAAAAAAGTTCCAGTGATAGAATTTTCTTAGTATTACTAAGTTGGCTATTACTAATGTCTGGTAGCAGTACATTATTCCTTTCACTACTTCACAAATACCACTTCCCAGCTGACTAAGGCACATTAATCACAATTAACTAAAGTCCTCCTGTGGGGGGAGGAGAAAAAGCCCTGCATTGATTGCACTGTAGCATATTCACTCCATCAATTTTTCATCAATCATTCCCTGTCTAAAAATAAAAGGTTATTTTTATTGCTAGTATGTCAGTTTCTCTACGTTTGAGAAATCAAGGTGACTTCTGATGCTTTCTGGTGTCATTATAAGTCAGACTCTGATACCTGTGGAGTGATTTCCACTAGAATGGTACCACTGCAGCTAACGAACTTGGTAAGAAATTGAATACAGCTTATTCTTTTAACTATGTACAAAAGCATTTTTAGTCAGTACTTAAAAGATTATTTGCTATTACAAGGGTTTTGCACCAATGCACAAATAAAAAAGGCTGAAAAACTGGAACACTCGCCAGCATTTAAGGCTCAGAAAGCCAGGATCTATTCCTGGTTTTGTCACAAACTTACCAAGAGATATTTGCCAAGCTTTTCAGAACATCCACTATCAGGAAAATCTGAACCAGTGTGGCATGAGGACTTTGATTACTGCATTACCTAGTTTCTTCATATAACATATGTAATGTGTATGTATAAAACTTATATACTAGMGTGAATGTCTGCTGATAGCATAAGGTATTTTAAGATATTGTAAATTCAGGGACATTTTTATTCATAGCGTTTGCTACTCCAAAGTTAAATAAACTCAATTTTTATATTTAGGGCTAATTTCTTAACTGACCTACAGATTAATGCTTATCTCAACACTTTTGTAGAAATCAAGGGCATTATAAGCAAAAGCTCATTTCTATTAAAAATTCAGTTCAACGGTTTTCCAATTTATTACACAATAACAACAACAACAGCAACAATGACAAAAATTACAAGCATAAATAAAAAACCCTGAAACATCAGATCAAGCCTTCAAGTCCTGTTGTATAAATATTTACCGGAAGACTTGTCTGAAAACATGAATAAAAGTAATTTACCTAAAATAACTGTCTGGCAACACATAAAATTAGCTATTATTATTAGTATTATAAAACGAACTCTAGCAACATACATCCCTTTGTTGTACGTGCAAACAGTACATAGTTTGTGTATAGATGATAATAAAAAATATAATGCTTTAAAATGGAATGCTAGATGTAACAAAAACTGCTAACTTCATACTACGAAATAGCAAATGAATGCAATACCAACACAGCTAACGTCACAAAGAAGATACTAAAAAAATACATTTTATCTGCACATTTCCTCCACCTATTATCAAGAAGAAGCAACATAATGCTGAACAAAAACTATTAATGCATTCTTAATTTAAAAAGAGGTTTAGAAAAATGATGAACTAAAGACCCTAACTATAATATAAAGAACTGTAAAAAACACTTCTGTGTCAGTTTTTTACCACAATTCTGCCTGCAACAGAAATGCAATCCTTCACCTGAATATACGCAGACTGGATGTTCTTTCTCCAGGACCACCAACGTCTTTCTAAATTCAGTAGCAACAACTTCAGATTGTTATTGGAGATAAACATGAATCCTACCTGGCCTGTTGCCACGTAGTCCTTTAAGGGATGAATAGCAAGGCAAAGGATGTCATCATCGTGACCCAGATAAAAGCGCTGTGTGTTCTGCTGCCGGTTGTACACCACTCCCACTGCTGCCACATGGTATACAATTTCACCCGTCTGAGTGTAAAAGAGATTGCTTCGGCAGTCGTAACCTCTGTAACTAATTAAAGAAAAGAAGCTTGTTCACCAAAGTCATAAACATATATACTGAAATTKAGATAAAATTATGCTGGATGAATTTTGCACACATAAAACTCGCATTACTTACCAGTTACTGTTTTGAYGTTCTAAGATCATGAACATACTTTCCCAAAGGAATACCAATTTATCAATCTAATTTACTATTCAGACATCAGTATTACAAGCACTAGTTTAAAAGTGACACTTAATAGTTACTTTCCACAACTAGTTTAGAAGAGAAAGTAAKAGCTAATAATTGTTTCAGACCGCATGGAGAAGTTGGGCATGCAACATGTAGTTAAGTGAAAYAGAAAATGTCCGAAATACTGGTTTTGGCTCTCCTAATGCTCACAAATCAGTCAGCAAAACCTGATAGCTTCTGGAAATTTGATAACAGAAAACATATGCATTTTTATTTTCTAGAACAGTTTCTTTTTTGAAGGAAAACCTGTATGCTTACTGTACTGTTACAGGAACAGTCACGAGTACACCAATTCCCAACTGAGGTCTATATGAACTATCTCAGTAAACTCATTTCCTCCTAGGTGTGATTAAGATCATGAAGTTATATACATCTTCCCTTATGTACAGTGCAGCTATATGCACTGGTGAAGTAATGAATCTGTAAGACAGCTGACCAACTTTAATTTAATGAATATTCCAAAAACCATGGATCCATGTTCATAAACACTAGATCTATGCAAAGCAATAGAGCACATATCTGGAGCAGATTTGAATACAGTGTATTTCTGTTGGCTCACCTACATTACACACAATGGCACTTACTCCATTGCATTTGATTAGAGAAAAATTGCTAAAATCACCACACAAAGTTTTTAMACAGACCAGCAGATGATCCAAGTCCACTGCTCCCCAAAAGCAGAATGCTGCATTTCATGAACTTGCATCTCATAAACTTTCAGAAGATCATGACATTCTTCCCTGCCCAGCTCTCTAACCTGCCCAGGTCCCTGCAGATGGCAGCACAGCCATCGGGTCTGCCAGCCTCTCCTCCCAGCTTTGCACTGYCTGCCATACTGCAAAGTCCAAAGCTGGGTCTCATTAGATCACAAACATTCCTTAAACCAGCAAAAATTGTGATAGCACAGAAATAAAAGCTTTTAAATACAGCTTGCTCCAAATGACTGTTTAGATTGGTATTCACRGACAGGTTCTTAACCTCAGATTTGGTCCTAGTCCAGGAACCTTTCAGTGTCTCCTGAGTTACTATCCCTTCAAAATCTCTAGCAGAATCCCTCTTTACATTTGATCTGAGGCTCAGCTATGTCTGCTCCCTGATCTTCTCAAAATGGACAAACAATTCACAATACAAGTGCAGACTCTTCAGTCATGCTTTGCTCTCCCTCCACCCACATCCTTCACTAACAACCTCCCCCTGCAGCAGCATGTGCAGATGTTTTGCAGCTGATTTCTGCCTGACCCAAAGTGCCTTCTCTCTCTTGTGCAGCCTACTGTGATGCACAGCCACCAGGTTTTTAAGGAACGSAAAATACAATGATCTACAGTAACTACGAAGAAAGTAAACAAAAATAAAGTAACGTATCGCAGCATGTAACATCTCCATTTTAAGGATGCTCGGTGAGGGGCAGGGATTACAAAGGCAGGAATAGTGCCAAAGAAGATACCTGAACCTGCTGCTGCCCAGACATTGTTTTCCTGTGCTTCACTCTGCTCTGCTAACCATGCTGGATTTCCTTTTCAAGCACAGAGTAATTAAAGAAAATAAAAAAAAAAAGGCCAAATATGCACCCTAAAGGAGAATATTAAAAAAAGCCAGCATACACAYGCTGAAAGAAATACTGGACATTGAGCAATTTCTTGCAAGCTTAGCAGTCACCTATGAAAGTAAAAAGTGTGAAGACGTTAAAAGGGTTTCAGGTCCTCCTACATGCAACCCAGAAMTTCAGAATTTTCCCAGCTCATCATAACAGTTGCCTAAATTAAATCTAGTGAAACTGAGTACATTAAAGCCATGTATCACAGGACTACTCAAAATATCCAAAATGTTTCTAGGATGCAGGAAAATAGTTCTTATTACTCATATCTATAATTTCTTGTGATAGAAGTTAATTTTAGTTAATTTCCTCCAGTTATTACAAAAATTAGTACAATCAGTTGCTTACAATTAAAATACAACATATTTGCCAAACTATCAAGCAGTGCCAACAAAGACCCTTTGTAACCTAATTAAACACATTTGGTCTCTCCCACGTGCCAGTTTACTAACTCCTGGACTATACAGGTATTGTCACCAGAAGGAAAGTGATGGGTCTAGGTTAGACAGCAATGAAAAGAAGCATATTTCAGTGYAGAAGATCATTCCCTAAGAATATTCTACACAGTTCCAAAATACTTACATCACTGTATTATCAAACCAATTTGAACTGAGATTACTAAACTAATCTGAGCTAATCTCAGAAAAAGCATTAAGAGAAATAATTTATTCACATGCAAAAACAAACCAGAGAAATTTACAAGCTGTCTCGATTAGCAACTATAAATTAAATAATAATGAAAGCAAGTTCTGTATTGTAGTTACTGGATAATACATAACAAGTCACAATAAATACAGGACTGCATTCTGCCATRGTTAATAATCCAAGACCGATTCCAGTTAATACAAGAGTAACCATCAGAATATGTAGCACCTTCAGTACTACAYAGGAAAAAAAATAGCCATTACCAAGGTCACGAATAGCAGGGGCTGCATTCAATGTGAGATTAAGACGTGTAAACACAGGTGTTCCCATGTCTGTTAGATACATTGACTCCCAGATTTTAATCAACAGTGTTGTAATCAATATAGTCAGTTGAACCTGCTGGGCTGCTCAGCTGGCCGACCATCAGCATTTCACTTTACCTGAGCCAAATTAGCCCTTATGCTCCACGGACTACTGACTGGATCTCCATAGACTGTGATGTAAGTTTAGAAATACACATAAAACCATCTACTTTTGGGCACATAACTGAATTCTGCAACCTGAAGCTGAATCCTACCCACATTTGCAAGTTACACATCTATGTCCAACCAACATCTAGTTACACATCTATGTCCAACTAACAGGCAACTTCACAAATAGCAACCTCTCAGAAAAAGAGTCAGTGTAATGCTGTAAGAGTTTCAAAATTTGCATGTTACCCTTCAAAGTATATGTGGGACRTTTCCACACATAGTCCAACCTTCCCTCAAAAACCTCTTGGAGAACCAAATGTCAAAACTAATAGAATCGAGAACAGAGTCTTTAGTGCAAAGGTGGAGACTTATTTTTTAAAAAAAAATCTGCATGGCAGCAGTGTTTTCTCAAGAGGACCCACTCATAGGCTATTCCCTTCAGATACTATTTGTAGGTTCTTCTTGTATGAATCCAYGCAAGTGATAAGGCTGTCATTATAGAGCATTCCCATGTAATTTTGAAACTGCTACCAAACTTCATCTTAGGGTAAGGTTAATCCAATGAATATCCTGAAACTCAAACTAAATTATGTTTAAATCCTTTGAATATTGAAAAAACATTCAATGATTGTATGAATATTTAAAAATATAAAAAATCATTCTTGTGAAATCAACAGCACAGCTTTGAGAAAATACATGAGGGGCATCACTATTACATGTGCATCCTTATTTCCTGCCAGCAAAAAGAAAGCAAGAAGATAGATCCTTTTCATGTTTCCGAACCATCAACCTGCCGAAGATGCGGCAGAATTAAAATACAGGAGAAGTCAAAAAGAGGCCAAATTTGCACACCAATTTCCTAACATGTTTCTGGTCATGAGTGCATCAGATCTTTTAAAGAAAGACACACTTAAAGATGGATCTCTTAACAGAAGTTTTTTTCTCATCCATGTTAGTCAGAAGCTGGCTCACATACTCTGAATTTTATCCTCTACCAAAGGCAGGAAATAACCAGAGGTTTAAAAGATTTCTTACAGGATATCAAGAGATTCTAAAAAGTTCATCTTTCAAGGTAGTTGACAAATTCAAAACACAAGACCAACAAGCTCAAAAACAAAGAAAAGAAAAAGAGCTTCCAATTTCCCTAATTTCAAAAACCACCACTTATATTTTCAAGGAATATCTAAGACATTTCCATTGCAGCTAAAGAAAGATGAAGCAAAGCAGACTTCCTGAATCAGAGAATATGCCTATTACTCACTTGGATGTGGGTCACTTTAAAGTTAACAGCCTGGACATTGAGAAAAATCTGTTGTTCAGCATGGATTCTTCATTAGTTTTCTTGATGCCCATTGGGTAACCAGACAGAACTCAACAGGACATTCTACTTCTGGTCATTCTTGGATACTCTGGTCAAGCTTCACTTCTGTTGTGAAGGAAATAACAATAATACCAAAGATCCAGGGCCCTTGCTTGTATTACATCTTCTTCAGGATCATTTGGTTTTATTCTCAGACCAAATTTTAAAGACTACATACAGCAGCTACCCACCTTAATGCATTTTCTATACAGATATAAAAATCTTCAACTGGGAATTCTGGAGGACCAAAAAGAAAAGTAAAAATACCCAACTCTGTACCAAGCTTCCCAGTTGTCATTATTTCCAAATCTATTACTACATGACTTACTACTCAGACTGTGTGTCTTGTTCACACAAAATAGCTGAGTTGAATATTAACTATTCTTAGCCAATTAATTTATTAAGCATTCCATGTGGAGTCCGACTAAAATTGTTCAAGTGCCGTTATAAAGACAGACAGTATCAGTAACTCATCTGTGCATTCAGTTACATCTGAAAAGAAGCTGCATTCCTGCAAAGAGATACCTTTTGAAAGAAAGACTTGATTTGCAATGTCTTAATTGAATAAAGGTTTTGGTTTGGCTTCGTATCAAGAGAGTTTGYATTTCTGATAATTTTCTAGTGCAGTTACGTCTAGTACCAGTTTGCTTAAAAACACCACATCCTTGTTGTGATAAAAATTCTTCACTTGTGAAGAGGTACGGGAGACTACTAATCCTAAAGATGAAATCATAAGATTTCAAGGATGCATCTGAAAGTCATTCTGCTACCAAAAAGAGAATAAACTAAATTTTAACAAAATTACAAGACCTATTAAGAACTAAATTTAATTCCTAAACTAGCAAAGGAACATGTAAGTTGTTTCAGACTAGGTAGAAACAATTTATGCGTTTTCTTTAATAAATCACTGTTAGAAGCACCACTATGTACATAACCCAGTCATCTTCAACAACACAAAGTTTCTAGCTGTCAAAATAATACACCAAAGAGAACTATTGCTTTCCTGATACTGAAAAGTATGGGTGAGACTACTAAATACTGTATTTAGTCACCTGTATTCAAGCAGTAAGTAGCAGCTAAAGTTTCAGTGCAAATTCACTTCAGAATTCATTGTAGAATTAGCATGTTGGCATCAAAGCCTTTTTTTTATTTAGAGTAARTTTATTTCCACAGATAAAAATAGTAAATCATAAAGCAGTAGACCTAAAAGTCTTTAATCAGATTATTAAATTATAAACACCAGTCTACAAAATCAAACAGTTTGCTTGTATATTTTAAAGAATCCTAGTTTGCATACCCATGAACAAAGTGTAGTCTTATACTGTTCCCTGGAGCTCGCTCACGTCTCTTAGAAGCTGCACTTTTTCTTTTTTCTTTGCATTGCTCTTTAAGTTGAGGTAGATCTTCTTTGTAAACCTTTAAGGAAAAGCATACTTAAAAGATCAGTCAGAAAAATGTATTTCATTTCACTCACAAAATGTTATTCTGACAAAATTGAAAAACCGCCTCCAACAGCTGTAGCCAGTGACTGTATAGTGCAACTTGGTCTTACATTGCATTCTAGGAAAACATGTGCTAATTTTTCTCCTTGTTAATATTAATAAATATATTTATAGTAATTATTAGTCTATTATAATATTTTAATTATCTTGATCTTTTGAGTGCATCAGGTAACAAAAATTCTAAAGGTTTTGGTCAGTTCCCATGCAGTCTCCCAGTTTTGAAATTTCACCAATCTTCATAAACAACCAACTGAAACCCTGGGAAGCTTCCAGCTGCCATTGAAACTGAAATCTTTACCTGTCGACGATAGGTGATCTGTGTCTCTTGTTCAATTTCAGAGTCCAGCTCTGGAACATCAGACTGATCTGAATCTGATTCATCACTATTAGAATCAACCAGACTCTCTGGCACCAAGGAAACAGAAATAAAAAATTAAGCAACCTAAATTACAAGCCAGAAAGGGTTTAAAGTAACTGCTTGAAGTTTCTGATTTGATAATCCATGCTTATATTAACTACAACATAAACTGCTAAAAATTGACAGGAACAATTCTGCTGCTACATGAGAAGCCATAAGTATGATAATTTTGAGCGTTGGAGTGAGTTAGTTTTCATTAACTAAAATTATTTCATCAACTTCAATGTTAGGAGAAAAGGAAAAAAAGAAGAGAATTAAATAATGAATACAAAGAAAAACTAAGACTTGTACAAAATTAACACAGGGTCCAAAGAGAATCTTCTGTTGAAGTGAGACACTGATGCAAGCAGGAATTCTTCAGGTAGATAAGGGGGAGGGGAAAAAAAACTATAGACAGGAAGAAAGGGGCAATAGTTTTTGTGACTGCAGAGAAAAAGTGTAGTTATTTAAGTTTGACATGTAGGAAGAGCCTATTATTGTTTCCTTCTGCTTTTGTCACTGACAAGCTCAGCACTACATCTGTATTCATTTACCTATTTGCTGGATTCCACACTGACACACATTCATCTGATCTGAGCAATTAAACAGTGAAACAGCCTATTTTATTGTAATTCTATATACTTATTTCCCCAAAGGATTCTCTAAATTCCTTTAGGAATTTCCAAGGGAGACACTCAGTTAGCTGCTTTGATTTCTGAAAACGGCGTCATGAGAATAATTGTTGTATTAGTCACTAGTGGAAACATGATCTTCATTTTTTGCCAAACATTAAATATCTATATTCTGCTTTAAAAAAAAATAAAAGCAGTAATAAAACTTGAATTATAATCCAAATACTTTAAAACTCTAAATCAAATTCGTATAAAAATCCATTTTTCCAGCGGCACTTGAACATCCAGTTGTTGTCAATTAGGTAAAGGATGACATGTACAGAATTCAGAAATTTGTATTTATGACCTGAACTTTAAAAATTTTCCTTGTCAAAGGAAACACATCAGTGAAAGGTTTTTCACACCCTTGCTAGCCTGAACACACAGGTTAATGTCACATATTAGGCAATGCTATCAGGTGCTTCAGGCACCTGCAAAGTTTAAAGAACAACACCTGTTGTAATTGTGCACACTGACAATTTTGAATATTTATTTCAATACTTGCACTGAAGAATTTTACTTCTCTTTTAGCCTCCCTGCCTTCCACATTTTTGGTGGTGGTTTTTTTAGTTCATTAATTACCTTGGGGTGCTATATGAAGAGTGTCCTTCAACTTCCGGTCGGGGACAAACTTCCACTGAAAGACAGAATGATCAGCTCCCCCGATGGAAACAACCCACTGGTGATCATGCGACCATCTGACATTTGTCACGTGAGCCGAATGACCAAGATATTTTTTAAACTTTGCTCCTAGAACAAGAATACAAATCTCTGTCAACTTGTGAAATAAATGTTTCAGAAGTACCTCAGAAATTCATGTTAAGGAGACCTTAATAAAGATATTCTAATTATTAGTGATATTTTAATTAATAGCAACAACTTTTTGCATTTTTCAGAGATTTTAATCTGTATAGAAGATACACTTTAAGTTTAGGTTCCAAAATATAATATCTTTACCAAGTTAAGCACAAGAGCAGAGGACATATGATAATGCTTTATGAGGTGTACTAGAGATTTTTTAGATTTCATTGTATTAATTATATTTTGCTTTTTACAAACCAAGATTTCTACATTGAAAAAATACAGTTATTGAAATAATGTATATTTAGGTCTGTGAAAACACCCCCATATATTGCTGGTAGCAGTGGTTCCCACTGAGTGTTAAGTACTTCTAGCAATTCATCTCCTCCCACGTTTAGCAGCACTAGAACTGGGAGTAGTAGTACAGCTACATCAAATTAACATTTTCACTGCTATATAATTACAACACAGTGATTGGATAACTTTCTGAAATGAAGTGCCTAACAGCACTCCATCATAGAGATGTCTTTTTAGACCAGAAAGGCTTCAAGAGCTGTTGGAAGAACTTCATTCTAGACACCATTCACATTTAATGCTGGCTACAACTGCATGGATGGGTTTTAGGATATATCTTCAAGGTTTATGAACTGAAAAGAAACGTTCTGGGTGTTGTGTTTTTAAAGACTGATATTTCCCCATTTAATAAAATTCTGTTTTCAAAAGGTGGTATTAAAAACCATTTCATTTTCCAGTCTTCTAATACATTTTTCTTGAATAGACACAATTAAAAAATATGCTTCTACTTGACTTTAAAAGGCACTACCTTTTCTCAGACATGGGTATCGAAAGAGTTTTACTATTCCATAATCATCAGCCGTAACCATAACTTGTCCAATAAAATTCGCATCCACAGAATTTATATCATTTATATCTGAATATTTGGGCCAGATTCCATTAACTTCAAAGCCAGAAACACAGGTCCATGATGCCCACTGAATGCCTTTCAATTCCTCTTTGTTTGTTACTTCTTTTCCACCTAAGAACAAAAATAAATAGCCATTTTTCAATATTCACTTATGCCATTTTAAAGAATGTAACATTTTAAAAAGTTCTCTAGAAATCAAATCCAAGTGGGACAGAAGKAAAGCCTGACTTCTAAAACTGTCCTGATATCTAGTATTACCTATTATGACCAACAGTATTAGTCATAAGGCTTCTCAAGACTATTTAACAGAAGATCATAAGTTTGTTACTTTAWAGTTCTTATTATTTCTTGGTATCTCCTTGAGGCTGTGTTATTTTTTAAATGTTTATCAAAAATACATGTAGGCATTCTAAGATAAAGTTCATGAAAAATTCTATTGCTGAATGATTCTAGAAACTTGGATTATTTATAACAAGAACTGAAGAACTGATCTGGCCACAGTAAATCACTAAAAACACCCATTTTCTGCTTAGATCCTTGTTACATTATTTCACACCAGCCGTATCTGTAATGAGATTGATCCAATTCCACAAAGTTCTATCTTGACAGAAMTTATTTCAAGAGTATGGGACAGTTCAGTCAAGTTTTTAAGAGAATCATCTTGAAAACACTTTCAATAAMGGGGTTGTCACAAAGTTCCTCTCTGCAAAAGCTCTTTTTAGTCGAATTCCTCAGTCTGGAGCACAGTTCTAGAAAATCAAATGCCTCTTCTGAGATGCAACATGCTGATTTTTTCACACATTTTAAAAAACTGTACAGTGCAATCAAACAATTCATTTACTACCCAAGGCCCATAAGTACAAAGCTATTAAGCTGTTGCAGAACTTAGTTTAAATGYTGAATTTTAATTCTTCTAAAAAAAGTGGGAGCGAAAGTTTATTTTTGAGAAATAAATTATAACTCAACAACTCTAGTATGAAAAGCTGGATTGGAAAGAAGAGTAAACATATATGGATGAAAATATTTCAGTAACTTCGCCAGAAAAATGCAGTACTTACTCAAATGTGGCTAAACACTTTTATGAACTTACAAGAAACTTTCTCTGTACCACCATTCTTTAAACCATGATTTACACTTGGCTTTTTTTACAAAGCCACTATGTTATTCCTGTAACAAGTAACAAATATCATAAAGACAACTCAGAATCTTACTTGGCATTCTGTAAAAAAGTCTCTTTCCATTGCCATCATTGGTCTGTAAGTATTTACTGTCTGAAGACCAATCCATATGCGTGATGAAACTTAAAGATCCAATACATTCCCCAACTTTCTTGTATCGTTGAACAACACCATATATATCCACAGAGCTGTCATTGGAACCAACAGCTAGGAAATTCCCATCTGGAGAATATTTGAGTTCATGAATAGCTTCTTTCCTGTCTTTGATATGAACAACCTCAGTCATATCTCTGTAGTACGAAAGAAAGCATGTCATAAGTAGAGAAGAGCCTCATCACACTGTCAAGCTCCCAGGCTAAAAAACGAACAAGATTGTGAAATTGTATTTTGAACTTAACCATCCCGTGTGCAAGCACATCACTGCTGTTTCTAGAGTTGACTAGTGCTTCATTGAGAAAAAAGATAAGGAAACACTGACAAAAGAAAGTGCTTCTCTGGACTGAGGGACAGCGAACAAAAGGAACTGCTCAAACTGGGTCTACAAGAAAACTTCATCAGGTAGATTATGAGATCTTCATTCACCTGGRAAAGGAAACTTCACTGACATGAGACACAGATCTCATTTTCCCTTTAAAACTGTGGGATCATAGCAGCACAAGGCAGCCCTGATTTTACATGTATGATGTGCTGACAGCARAATCCCAACAGATGGACACAATTTAGCATGGAATGAAAAATTATTTCTCAGTAATTCAAGGATAATTAATAAATTTAAAAACTAAAGTAAAACATTTTCTGGAACACTGACACTCTCTGCAAATAGACCAATATACTTTTTCAAATGTGTTTTTATAGAACAGCATGAACATACATAGCACACATTTTAAAAATCWGAGCACGCTCCACCTAAAACAAAACGTAAGTGTCCACATACATGGCCACAACAGTATCAATATACATACGATGCATAAAATCAATTAGATAACCTGCTTGAAAGAGTAAATAATGCACGCATTTTTAATTTGTGTAGCATACCTGACCCGAAGCACAGTGAAAGAGCCATCCTTCATTCCAAGAGCGAGATGGATTCCATCAGTACTAACCGCAGCACAGCGAATGGGTTCCTCCATGTTGCACCGGGCAATCAGAGCATGGTCTATTAAACTCCAAATTCTAAAATAAATTAATKATTTCAAATGTAAAAAGGGTTGTGCAGCTTTGTCATAGATGAAGCCCTCAGTTGCCGGACAATGCTGGACACGGCAGTGTCCTACTTTAAAATAATTTTCCACATGGAAAATCTAAGATATACATRTGAATTTTGCATAAAGCAAGAATTATTCTTGTATTAAATATTCTTGTATTTTAAAAGATGGTAATATTGCTAATGAGAAAATGTGGGGACAGATTAATTTTGATTGACTGAATATGAAAATTGATAATATATGACAATATATACTTTTAGACCACTCTGGCAAAAGTTCCACTATTTTGCTAATAATTCTAGCCAAGAATTTTAAATAACAAAGACTTCAATCAGTATAAACAACTTTTCCTATTAACAAGTCATTATTAATAACCCCTTATAACTAATGATATTATAATACTTAAGTTTTTACAAGATACATCTGGAATCTAAGAGTATTGTTTCAATATTAATTATTGAATTATTGATTTGCTTAACCATGTTACATTTTAGATATTAACAAAAATGCCAACACRTTTAACTTAAAAGAAGAAAATATGGTTTTGACCCCCCAAAAAATAGATGAACATGTAAAAGGGAGTAATTTAATGGGCCTTCTGAGCATTTATATTTTGTTCGCAATGCATGCACRAAGTTGGATGAAATTTACAAATTAAAAGTTAACTTGCAGCATTTGGAAAAGTAAATATGGTAAGAGTAAAATGTGTTTTTATCACAGTATTTTTCATCACAAGCTACGCATGCTTAACATAACCCCAGAAAAGGAAATACTTAAAAGGATACTTGCCTCTGAGTGCTCAATGCTAGCCTAAATTAAATGTTTTCAAATTTCATACATGGGGGGGGTTGGGAAATATATACTCCCATAGTATTTTATTACTGAAGAGCACTAACTTCTACAACAACTGTAGAAGTACATCAATGCTACATTTTAATACCTTTAAAATGTTTACATTTCCAGTTAGGTTACCTACAAAATGAGCCCTTTTTATAAAACTGTATGCAGTTTAACAAACAAACAAAATTTAACCTGACAGAACGATCGTCGCTTCCAGTCATGGCCAGGGGTTTTGTAGGATGGACAGCCAAAGCCCACAGCTCTCCTTCACAGTGCCCCTGCATTATCAGGAAAGGCTTATTACGCTCATGCACCACAATTTCAAAAATTTCACTATCTTGTGTCCCGACGAGTATATGGTCTCCTCTCCAGCAAACACTTCTTACAGAGAGACCTGCAGAAGAGATTGTTACTGAGAAACACATCCTCAGAACTTGTAAAACAAAGGTGAAGTAGCACATGAAAGAACATAAAAAAAARGCGAGAAAATGTCAAGAAGTATCCATATACCTTCTCTGCTATATTCCTGGATTTATTTCCTTTACTCTTTTTATCTATTTCATAGATAGAGGCATATTTGCCCTTCGAACATGAACTTTYTAAGCTTAGTATTAAAAAATTTCTAAAATATCACATGAGTTATTTAAATAAAGGAAAAATATAGTACTGACTTTTGCAGCTGAAATTATGCCCTTAATATCTTTACAGTTCAAGTAAGGTAACAGAGAATAAAAATGACAATTTCGGATCAAACCACAGACTTCAGTACTAGGCAGGTGAACCTAAATTATGTAAGTGATGGAGGCCCCAACATTGTGTGAAAGACAGTCATAGAGCCCAATCCTTTTTAACATCTGAACAGCACACAGAACTATTTTTTCCTACTAAATGAAAAATAMCAATCAAACTGGAACAACATTTAGTGAGGTGAAAAGTATTTATGATGGATTTTAACATGCATTCCTAACAAATGAATTCATTTCTAGGCTTACAGTGGAGGTAAGCACTCACAGGCCTTGTTTGTAGATAAGGCTGGGAATTATAAGATGTAAATTAGGAGAGCTTACACTGAGAACCCAGTCTAAGAAATACATACCTTTTAAAACAGGCTGCATTTTTTACATTCTGATAATGCAACTCAATTTTGCCAATTTGAAATTTACATAACCAGATGGTAGCAATGCCTAATTTAACTAATTCATTTTGCCTGAACACTGACTTTTGTGGAAATTAGCTCAAAAATACCTTTGAAAAACTACTCTGGATTAATAAATGAGACAAAAATACATCTATCAGATAAGAGAAAGAAATATTGTTATGGTATAGGTTGACATGCTTTTAAAAAATATTTTTATCTATGTGGAGGGAAAAGAAAATCCAATGTTATTAATTTTATATTGGGAAAAAACTSGAATGGAGGGTTAATGGGCCAGTCTGGTGCATCGATAGGGGTGTTTTGATTCTGACAAAGAGAGCTCTCAAAGCAAAGCTCCTGATCATGCCTACTTAATATGCTTGGCATGACAAGGTAGCCTTCAAATGCAAAAATAAAGAACTCCCTCCACATGAAGCAAAACAATGTACTCCAGGAGTGCACTCGGTGCACTCCAACCGCAATGCAGTGCTCAGTCTGCTAAACCAGACTAGAGCTAATGCCCCTCAAACACCCCTCAAAATGAACATCTACTGTGATAATCAAACAGCTCCCAGCATCTCCTCTGCTTTACAGATTTGAACTGTTTATTGTACTGCTGAATATAAACACCACACCATTCAGCCCTATAATTTGACATTATATGGCTGTACTCTCTACAATGATTTAAAAATAAAGAAACAACTAACCAGGAATTTGATGAAAGATGACTAAGAAACCTATTTCAGTAATTTGGAATTCCTTGTGGTGGAGGGAAACATTTTGAAATACAATGTGACTACTTGGAGGATATATAGAGATTCAATTAATTGCTGTGAGCTATTCACAAGAATACAGAACTTGAGTTCATGTTCACAGATAAAATTACTAAGAGGTAAAATATATGAGTAGCAGATAATTAGYGATTAAGAAAATGAGCAAGAGGACAGGTCGTAAAGTCTATCCTTAAAACTATACAGGAAAAAAAGAGGGAAGGGAAAAAAGTCAGGAAACTAATTTTATTCAAGGTAAGATTTTTTTTTTAAATCTACTTCCTCTGTAATGGGCATTTGATAAGGCAAAAGCTGATSATAAGAGTCTGTTACCTCAAAAGTAAAGGAGACAAACTGGAGTGGAGAACAAATTTGAAAGAATGAAACGGGGCTTCAAACACAGCTTTCAGCTACATGCATCAGAACTGAGAAGCAGCAGGTCAATAAATTTAAATTTAAAACAGAGCCACTCTACTGCAGGGACTATTTAAAATGAAATGTAWTTCATCTTGTTGCAATACTTTACAATCTTGGTGGGAATGCCATGTCAATTACAGTTTACAAAGACTTCACTTGTAATTAGTTATGTATTGACCCTGAGTATGTGATTGCTATCAGACATTCCAGCACATTTTTAAAATCTTGGCAAGATATTAGAAAATAACAAAAGTGACTGGGGGCGAAGGAAACCAAATGCCAACAAAAGCAATATTGTAAGTGACATTAGTGCTTCAGTATATGTTTGTATTCTTTTCCTAAATCATTACAGMAACAGTATCTGGAACACCGTGTAAAACTTTAACATGACATAAACTGTAACTGAAGTCATAAGTAAAAGAAGTGTTTTATATTCTTCGAAACTGTAAATAACTTCCAAATAGTTTAATGGAAATTTGGATAACTAGCAGATGAAATTTTTGTAAAATGTTGTTTTACATTGTAGATATGTCTCTTTCAAGTTCTCTCACATCATTACTGCACTGTGTTAAAAACTGCTGTGCTCTACAAACCATGTGCATAAAAACCTTAAATCTGTGTCTGCATTTTAATCTTATGRGGTTTTTATAACAGTAACTGTAACCTTCATACTAATGGGCATGATCTACTTCTAGCAACTAGTTCATARTAACATACATAAAATAACATTTTTGGATTTTGAAGTCTTTCCTTGTTCAGAACACTTATAAATTTCCTATCTTATTGGCATATTGAAAGCAACAAACTTATCTTTACCTTTATATCCCTGGTCTGTTTCCCTGAGATCAATCACAGTAATTGGTTTAAAATTTAAGTCCCACAAGCGAACACAGCCATCCCTGCCACCAGTGGCAAACCCTTCTTCACATGCATTCATGCTGAAAATTCCTGCCTAAAGAGAGAAAGAAGTTATTTTTAACAACATACACAGATTAGAGAAAACCAGTATACAACTAATAAAAGCTTCAAATACAAGAAAAGTCAGAAATGGAAACACACAAAACAAGCAGAATTAACAATAAGTGATAAACAGTAAGAATTGCTGCAAGAATGCCTTCATCCTGATCATCATCATCATAGTGATGTTGCTTCTTATCCCTAGAAAGAGATTAGTTTCATGTCCTCTTGCCTTAGGATGTGATCCAACTCTAATAAATTTCAACATCAAGAGCTCCCATGATCTCTGTTAGGCTTGGTTTGGGGCCTTTGTTGCTTTACTCAGCTGCTATATAACAATGCAAAAAACAACTGGGATTTTTAAAATATTTTAAGCCACGGAAAACAGATTTAAAATTGAAGTTTAGAAACAGAACGTAAGAAAAACAGTGACCATGTTATACCATTGAAAAATTAATATAAGTTTTCATTTTAAAGGCATAACAAAACAAAATCTAACCCATTTTCTTCAACTCACTTGATACATGTTCAGGATAACCAAGAGCCAAGGATGATACATGTTGTATTAAAATAAATATAGCCACATAGACACTGTATTTGATTTAACATGATACATATCTAATAGCATACCCACACTATTGGTGGTGGTTTTTAATTACCCACACAACTCATTAGTCTTTTGTTCAGAAATAAATCTCACACTTCAGCAAGCAAAGCTACTGAAAGGGCAACTTTAGCTAATAAGCCTATAAGAAGTTTAAAAAATTGCTCTGCATTGAAGTATGCAATATTCAGCTATGACAAAAGTAAACAAGAGAGCTTTAGAAAAAATGAAGAGAAAATCCATCTCCAACTCCTGTCCAAAAGAAGGTGGAACAGCCAAAGTGTACACATATCTTCCATAATATTGGGCTGAAATTTCAGTTTTGTAAATAAGTAAATGTAAAGATCCAACAGTTTCTTCAGYTAGGGGTCCAGATTTTAAAGTAACGAAGCACATTAACCCCACAGCTGAAAGCAACTTGCAAAGGAGAGATTGGCTTTCATGGGAAAACAAAGTTGGACACTCACAGAACAAATCAGGATTCAGTGTTGTGAGAATTCTGAGGTACTCGTGACTATTCTCTCCTAACAATATGGTTTTTTTCTTCTTAAATCRCTAAGAAAAATATCATAACAGACTGGTCACAATGAAATTTGGAGTGTGTTTGCTTTTCTAGCATCAGGTAACAAGGAYATAATTTTCCAGTAAGAAGAAAGAAATCACCCAGCTTTCACCAAAAACAAGYAGCCCACTAGAATGTCAAATGACAATCAAAACTGAAAGACTAGGATGACAGAACTCAAACCTTTTGGCATGTAATGTCCATTCTCAAGAAAGAGACTCCTATGACAAGCCACATTTTCAGGAGCAGTACATGTCTAAACAGAAATGTAGCAGAATTATTAAGTCATAAGCAGATTAGGAGGTTAACTCCCATTATTGCTAATGTCCTGAAAATCCTCTTTCTGTTTCTTTGGGAGCCTAGAGGTTTTTGAAAATACAACACAAACTGTATTTGTTTCTCTCCATTTGTGTCTGTTTTACTGCATTAACCTTTAATATTGTGAGAAGTCTTATGAAAAGCAGCTGAGGGAGCTTGTTTGTTTAGCCTGGAGAAAAGGAGGCCCAAGTGTGACCTTACCACTCTTTASAACTGCCTGATAGGAAACTGTAGCCAGGTCTCTTCTTCCAGGTAACAAGTGACAGGATGAGAGAAAATGGCCTTAAGTYGCACCAGGGAAGGTTTAGATTGGATATCAGTAAAAATTTCTTCACTGAAAAGGTTGCCAGGTATTGACACAGGCTGCCTGGGAAATCCTAGAGGGATAATCCCTGGCAATGTAAAAAAAAATTGGTAGATGTGGCACCTGTGGATGGGGTTGAGTGGTGAACACAGCAGTGCTAGGTTAACRTTCAACTCTATGATCTTGGAGGCTTTTTCCAACTTTAATGATTCCATGATTCTATTGCCATGGAATAAATAAAAGTCTAGAGGAATTTCAGCTCATGTTCAGCATATGCTGAATTCTACCCAAGTTGAAGTCTTTTCAAGCTCTTTTTGGAATGCAATCTTGATAATAGAATTATTTTCTTTTCTCTAATTAACTCTTCCCAAAACCCATCATTTAATTAGTCAGTAATAAAAAAAATAACCAGACATTTGTCAATGTGGGAGCTGGCAGAATGCTCTGAAGATAAGATCAAGTGGATCTAGCATTAATCTGTTTTCCATTCCACAGAATATCCTTATCTTGAAAAGGACATACTGGTTGTCAAGGAGATTTGGCAGATGTGCTTGCTCAATCTCTTGAAATGTAATTGGACACTGTCATTTCAGTCTTTGTGCCACTAGAATAAGAGAACAAGATGCAAACTATAAAAAAAGACCCTCGTTAATGGTGACTGTAAGTATCTAATGGGAAAAGCTGAGCTTTGCTACATTTCATATAATTGTTAGGTTCACACTTAATGGGGAAAAGACGATTCCTTACTGAGGTAGCTTGGCCAGTAAATCCTCCACTAAATCCTTCTTTTTATAAACTGTCAAGATTGTTAATGCAAATCAACTCTGGAGTCTTCATGCTTCTTTTAATCCATCAGCCTTAAATTGTCATTTACATAATTTGACTCTTGACGGTCAAAAACCCTCTAGCAGCAATGAGAGGCAAACAATGGCACTGACTATGTTAGATCCAATTGAATGTGAGCCACAAAGACTGACTCTGCTTCTGAAYGAAAATAAAAGGTGTAGGTCAAAGACTCCCATTTAAAAATTATGAAGCTTGACATACAGACTGCATTCTTCTTTTACAAATTTTTCATTGCATCTCCTAATGAACAGGAAAATTCTGGAAATAATATCTCAAGCTCATCAGCAGTTTTCTGAGAATGCTGAATATTTCCTGTTTTTCCAACATAACCAGCTGGTATCACATCTGTGCTCCCTCAAATTAAAAAAAAAAAAAAGTTAAATGAGAGCAAATAAAAAAATTAATGCCCAGATCTACCAGAAATTACGGTTGAAAGGTAGAGAAGTATACAAAGAACTTGATGAAGATGATCCCTACTGCATGAATACTTACTACTGCTTGAATCTAGGAAGTTTCCAATACTGAGGCAGTTTCTGGTTTTCTATTGCTGCTGGACCTATCTCATCCCCAATGGACAGAAATCAAGTATCAATTTATCTAAATGCAGTTGTTTATATAAAATCCACCAGTATGTGACTATGCATTCCTAAACCACATGATGACTGCAGTTAGCTATAATTAGGACCAAGCTTGGAAGTTCGTATGGAAACTTCAGAAGCAATTGAGTACTACTGAGCAACATGGAAAACAGAAACACCATACCAATACAAAAGAACTCCAGAGCCTCCTTTTTAGTCCCAGATACAACATAGGACACCAACGTAAAGCATGGAAAGCAACCCATATGTTGGGCACTTCCTTTGAGACATTGTGTCACCCAATACATACTGAACAGCAAGGAAACAGATTGCAAACATTTAAGAGAGGTGTCAGTGAGTGTACAGTGGAGAGGCACTACTGTGAAATGTAATCTTCCTGTCTAACAAATCATCCATAAAACAGCTTAAAAATGTGCGTATTACTATAAAAATCTTAAAGTAGTTGTCCAYGCACCTCTCATTGGCTGAAAGAAGTTGACACTTAACTTTGAAACCAGTGACTAGTCTAATAYGCAGGAGAAAATACTGCATGACTTAATGTGTTGGCACTTGATACCAGCTTAAAACCATTCATTTAAGTTCATTATATTGTTTCCATCTATATTTAATTAGTATCCAGCCAACTGACATAGGTGTGCAATAGTTTTAACAGAGTGCCCATTATTTAACCTCAAGCTTGTTATTTAACCTCAGTTTCTGACATCAATCCACACAACTTTAATGTGTACCTCTGAAAGATTATCTCAAAATTAATTATTCATCTGCTGAGCAAGCATCTTATGTGCAGTTACTATGCAAGGCAAAGGCATAACACACAAAAATCTTTAAAATATACAGTATTTTTAAATAAGCATACAATTTTGCCTTAATATAAAAGTAACATCTTGCATTTATATCTTAATAATCAAGGAGTACCTTGACTTTAGGACACATAAGGTGATACATGRAAGATTCTAGAATCTGCTCTTTGCACTGGTACACGAATGAGACATCTATTAAAAGATTTTTTTTATTAGTCAATGTATTTATTAACTTTCCAGAACCAGATGCATCACCTACAAATAACATCATAGAGTATTACCATTGCCAGTATATTTGCACATGTTTTCATGTAATTGTTCTTCAGAAAATTTCATTGTTAGTATTATTATTTAGKAAGCAAATCTAGAATTGCTACCCATTGCTATCCACTGTTTCCTGCACATGAACTCTGTGCCTTTACTCCTAAACCCTGCTCGTTTCCATCTTTTCCTACTTCTCATTTCTACTTTTACATTAAGTGAACTCACTAACCCTTATCCAAATAATTCTCCAGTCACCTCAACCTATTTGCTTTCAACTTTTGGTTTCTACTCAAACTCAGATAGGAATCTGCAGGAAACTCTACTTTCCTCCCTCTACAGTTCCTAGTATTGCTATGATAGAAAACATAATCTGTCTAAATTCAGAATTCTTTCTTTGCTTGTTAGTGTTAAAGTTTCAGTTTCCTTGGTTGCTCATACTGGGAGAGCATGGTTTATTTTTTATTTTTTATTTTTAATATTGAATTATTGAAAAATAAAAACTGTCTTTTCAGGTAGGACCATCATAACAAAGAGAACCAACCTTTGAAGAAAACATGTTTTCTGTATTAACGCAGACAGTGCCTTAATAATAATAAATCTGGGGACAGATTACTTCTCCACATCACTAATGTGCCTCAGAAAATGTTTCCCAGTATCTCAGATACCTACTGCCTATGCTGCAAGAAAAGAATGGTATTTATGCAAATAATGAGACATGCCTTCCTTTAATGACTTTACCATTTATTTCGAGCCTGCTGGGTCATAACGATGCAGGATGACAAACAGGTATGCAGAGATGACAATTCCAACACAGCATACTGAAGAGAAATTYATATCAATTCCCCACTATGTGCACACCGTCCCTTCAACAATATACATATATCTTGTTATTTACACTGGCATTTTCTTTTGAATGGACAAGAAGGACATAATTTATAAAATGAAGTATAAAATAGCCATGAAAAAGCATGATAATACTTTAGTCTGGCTGAAGAAAAGACTCCAAGTTTCCATACGTTGTGCTTTAAGTAGTCTGAAAACATCCTTTAAGGTAACTTTTTACTGAAAAACAAGGTTTCATTTTCTTGGAAAGAAGTTTYCACATTTTATTGTTTGGTTGGTTTCTTTTTCACTGAAATTGGTGAGATTTGTAGTGACTAATATCTCGTAAAACTGAATTTCAAAGACATGAACTAGTGTCCCTACTTAATTTTCAGTACTGCGAAGTACAATTCCATTGAGCCTAGATGACAGAGCCAAAAATAGAAGGCTAGATGAGACCTACTCCAAGGTCACCTGAGCTCTGTCCATTGATGGGACTGAAGATAAAGAGCACAGCACTTCAAATTTGATCTTGTGGTCAGCTAAGAGCTGACACAGCACATAAGGGAATGGAGCAACAAGCTCTAATCATCTGATGATTATCAGTTGTGTTGTTTCAACTTAAAAAGCTGAAAAAGCACTGCATTATTCTGAGAAATAAAGTGTTGCAAGTCTAAATACTCCAAGTAAAAACTATGTTAWTATGCAGGACAGCTGCACCCTACAGCACCAAACAGGATGGGAAAATATTTTGGCATCAGATTTGGATAGGAGACAGTGCACTGCTTGCTCTGGGAATCCAAGTTTGTATATGCAATGTCCAATCATCTCAGGAAAACACAGAATAGGACAGAACACCATTGAACACTTATTATGAAGAATAAAACCAGATGTGAAGTTACAGAGCAAGAATCAGGGATTACTAAACAACATAAACATCCCCCTCATATTTTCTATATCCCCCTCATACTTCCTGATTCAGAATTTGGAATATTCTAAATTCTTGAATACATTAAATATTTCTACAGATGCATACAGGACAGTGTGCTTGTGTGTGTATATCTGGGTTTTATATATATATGTATATACACATACATTCATACACATACTTCCATGCATATAAAGAAATCTCAAATGCAAAACACAGTCTGGGGACACTTTTTGCAYACAGATTTCTTCATAACTTTGTTCATAACTAGACACAGTGTCATTATACAACTGTCTGAATAAGCGGTCCAGTCACTTGTAAATTATTAGTTCGTTCCACACTGCATTTATCCTGAATGTGTGTTTCTAGATCTTTGTTTCTATGATTCTCCTTACTATAACTGACTGCAAACCYTCCCACATACATATCATTCATTGTTTTGAACCCTCCATTTTACCTGATTACATCAAAGAGTGACTCTTGTACTTCAATTACTAACATCAGGCAAACCAGYCCAACATGCCACTTAAAACAAACAAATTCTTATAAATAAGAATCATTACTTTTTCTAATTTCATTGCATTGRTTTTTTATCTAGAATTTTGAAACTGCAATATCAGAACACACGTTTGTTTTTTTCGCACCATGTTAAATTGCTAATAAGGGAACTTAGAATATTATCTAGAAAGTACAATGTTTCTGAAAACAAAAACTAACATTCAACCAGCAAATCATATAGCTTTATAAAGTGACCTTAGAARTTTCACACTTCATAGGTTAAACCAAACAGCAACTTGTAGGCTTTGTTTTTAAGGTGAAACTTGGACAATTAGAAGTCAAATCCTGCATACTGCCAAATGAAAGGTAATGAGGATTTTCAGTCTACCATGCACAAATCAGATTGCAAACCACAAACTGGGTTTTTTTGCAGCCTACTTTAATCGCAAACTGATTAAAGTAACATGAAAACACAACTAAAACTTACATATGAAAACTATAATCACTTTACAGTCATATTAAACATTTCCATTGAAAGAAGATTTACCAAGCMCTTTGGAAAATTTTTATTAAACTTTCACTGAGATGTGTTCACTTTTCAAATCTGTATACTGTTTTAATATGATTGAAACTGTTTAGGAATAAGAAAAGGTGACCTTGTATTGCCCTTTCCAGCTTTCCAGAAATTTACTTAACATTTAATATTAACTTAGAGAGATATACTTACAGCATGTGCTCCCTGTATTGTCCGTACAAGGTTGATTCCCTTCCATACATATATATCTCCATTCAATGCACCAGAATATGTCACTTCATCCCTTGCACAGGCGAGGCACAGTATAGTCTGGAGATCACCAGTCTTGCCAAAAACACCACGTTTTGGTGTCAATGAGTTGCCACACAAGCTCCAGAACTGTAACATAAAGTGATTTAGAAAGATGGTGCTTTTGCTAATAGCTTATAATTTAATATGTAGATCTGAAAGGAAGGACTTTGCCTCCTAAAGATATCACTATTCACCCCCCTTTTCATGCCTCAGTTCTCCAGTTTAACAATGTTTTATGTTATTAACCAATTTCATCCTTTCACAAAATCAGCATAACAGACTTGTTGGGAAGGAATTTGAGGATGTCAGTATTCAATCAAACTAAAATTCTTTCAAATAATCATTTGTGAGCCAGTTGTATTTTCAATTATTTTTGAAAAGCATTCCATAATAGAACTACCTTATCTTCCCTTGATGTAAGATTTCCATGTTGCACACACTGCATTTGTACTTTATGCTACTTTAGACATTTAAAGATGCCAGCTAAGCATGCAGATTTCTGATAAGGCTATTTTCTCTGAAAGCAGCAGGTTTTATTTCAGACTTATTTCTCCTCAGAACCATGGATCATACAAAGCAGCCATCTAGAGTGAAGGTTTTTAAGAACTTTCTAAAACCCATTGGTATGTGATTGCAACAGTCACACATGCATGAATTTCCTCCTAGGTCACCCTACACATACCAACGACTCCTAACCCAAAGATGTGCAAAGCCTCTTGTCAGAGCAGAGTACTTTCCAACTAAGTCTCCAGACACACACTCTAGTTTCTGACCTCTCTGGAAAGTCAAAAAGCTGCTGAAGGAAACCAATGCAAAACATGAAAGGATCACTGCTGACAGGTTACTCTTGCATTGTGTCAGAATGTTTCTTTATACGTGTTTACGAAACTGTATTTCACAGCAAGTCACTCTGTTATATCAATTCAAACTTCTGAGCAGAGAATTATTATGGCATAATGTAAGCAGTTACCATGAACAGATTYTTATACCTGCAATTCTGTGATTCAGGAATAACCAGAAATAATCATTACTGACTAGAAAAACTAGTACTGATTAGACAAATCCCAGTATCTTAAGTAGCTGTGCTGGTTTTGGGTGGGATAGCTAATTTTCTTCACAATGGCTGGTGCGGGGCTATGTTTTGGATTTGGCTGAASACAATGTTGATAATACAGAGATGGTTTTGTAATTGCTGAGCAGGGCTCACACAGAGCCAAGGCCTTTTCTGCGTTTTCTGCTGGTGAGGAAGTTGAGAGTGTACGGGAGGTTAGGAAGAGGCACAGCTGGGATAGGTGACCCAAACTGACCAAAGGGATATTCCAAACCATATGGCATAGTGCTCAGTATATAAAGTGAGAGGAAGAAGGATGGAGGGGGACAYRTTTGGAGTGATGGTGTTTGTCTTCCCAAGTCACCATTACCAGTGATGGGGCCYKGCTCTTGTGGAGATGGCTGAACACCTGCCTGCCCATGGGAAGCAGTGAATTAAYTCCTCATTTTGCTTTGCCACTGGGTGTGACTTTTGCTTTCTCTATTAAACTGTCTTTACCTCAACCCATGAGTTTTCCAGYTTTTGTCCTCCCAATTCTCTCCCCAGTCCTGCTGGTGATGGAGTGAGTGAGCGAGCAGCTGGCTGGGCCATGGCTGCTGACTGGGGTGAAACCATGACAGTGGAATTTTTGTAACCAAAGTGCAGATTTCAAGACATAGACCATGTTGTTGCTTGAGAAGAAACTACACAATCACTGCATATATCACCTAGCATATAAGCACCTAGCTCCAATGTGGAAGTARGTGATGTATCTAACAAAAGTAATTCCTCAATGTCAGTTCACTTGGAATTACCCACATAACTTAATTAAGTACTATTATAATTTGCATAAAATATCATCTGACAAAAACTACAATAGCATTAAAAAATGAAAGTTATTCTTGATATCKGAAAGAACAAGAAGGTGTGGTTTAAGAAAAACACACATGACAAAAATCCCTTGCCTGATCCAAATGCGTACAAATCTCCGGAATTCTGATTTTCTATTATGTTTCCCCAGAGGAAACACCAATTATTTTTAAAATGCTATTACTATTTAGAAAGGCTTTGTAGAGTCTTAAAAGTTGCCCAAACAAACTTTTGCTTATCTAAATAGCAATGTTTTGACATTATAAAGCCATCTTAGTRTATTTAAATCACTGCTGGCAAATATTAGCTTACTTTTGGTATAAAGATCCCCTTAGAGAAGTAGGAAAAAAAGATCATTATTAACTAAGTTCATGRAAATCTGTAACTGACATGCTAAACACTATGACAAATCAGACTTATGCAATCCAGCCAACAGACTGAAGACTTTTTCCAATAAGCTATTAATACATATTAATCTAAAAGTTTATAAAAGTTTCACTGTATAAAAAGCAACACACTCTCCCCACCATGGGAACCTACACATAACAATACAGAATTTTCAAGCTGCCATCTACTGCTGTTACGTGGTAACACAGAAAACAATACATGAGAAGACAGTGACTTTGACTGACATGAAACATGGTTCCTAATCAYTGATAATCCTGCTGACAAAGTTAAACCTGGAAAAAAAAGTTGTTTCTGCACAGCATTTGCTACATGGATCAAACAATACATGCTTGAAAAAGTCATGAAGTGTCCAAATTATGAATCCTATAAGAGGTACAGAGTGCTCCAAATGACAAAGGTATGAGTAACAGCAGGGAAAAGAAGCAAAAGGAAGGAAAATGCTTGCTCTTTCTCTTCCACTGTCTCTCCATAATCTCTCTAAATGGTAAGAAAGGTAAAACTCATTTCACCTCTGCAGGGCAGTAATTCATTCACTGTTCAAGATTCAGAAATCTGAGTACCTGGACTCACCTTAAAATGTACATGCTGTCTTACACTACTTGGGATTTCAAACAGTGTGTTTTAGACAACCTAAATTTTAAATTATATTACAATTATTATATACAATGCTACTGACAACTCTTTCATTCCTACTACATTGCTTCTGTCAGGGCATGAAGTCTTTTGAGCAGTAAATGTTTTTCACTATTTAGATCTTTTAAAATGTCTASTGTAGTCAGATCTAACCCGCAATCACAGTTCTAAGAACTAAGACTATTCTTATATAGGACCTTTCATATTATCATTATATATTCCTTTTAGATTCTATTTTTCTATATTTTATAGAGTATATACTACTGCAGCTTAAATATTTTATAAATGAACAGTTATTTTTATTACCTTGATGTGTTTTACGCCACAACTGACGAGCTTGTTTGGCTGGTATAAATCCCAAGAAATATCAAATATCTGCATAAAAAAACCCAAGGATGTCAGCAAAGATCTCCTTTCTAGTATGGCACAGTTAAAACAGTAAAAACATTTAGCAAATTAACAGGGAGTCTGAAATGCTTTAAATGGATCCATTGGAATGACTTTTTTATTTTCGTATTCAATAGTAAAATTGCAATAYATGCCAAATAGAGTTCTGGCCTTTTTTCCCCTAGAGTAATTAAAACACATGATAAAACAAGATTAAGGTTCATTTAGAGACTAAAAAAAATTAAGCAATTATTTGCATTTTGATTTCCCATTCTGCACTTTCCCTACATGCCTACACTCTTAACAAACCATACACAAATAAATAYTGAGTTATACATTTCATTCTAGAAATAAATGCACACATCTATCTTCACATCTTAATACATATCAACCTTTATGCAAATCCAGTTTCTAAAACAAAATGGTTATTGTTCAGACACATGTCTAGTATGTATATACAGACAGAGTTTAACAAACTAAAATTACATTGAMAYTCAGACTATTTAGTTATACTTACCCTATCTGTATGACCAGGAGCCATTGATAACAATTTTCCTTTTCTCCAGTCCCATACACAAACTGTGTTTTTCGAATCCAAACCAACTGAGACCAAGCGCTAAAAGTGTCCAAATTAAACAAACAAATAAAAAATAACTCAATATATTAATGAAAGTTAAGTCAYTCTTTTGAAAGAGTGGTAAAAAATGTCAGAGTAAATATTTCTTTCTGGATCCTTTCTCAAACCAGAATCCAAAGAGTCCCCAAACATAAAATTTCATTAAGTCTTTTTATTCACAAAGAGTTTGAAGCCAGTTAAACTGTAAAACCAGGAAGGACAAAAAGAWTGTTGCAAGAAAATAGAGAAAAATAAAATTTTGAGATCTTCCTATGCTCTGCAGCATGTCTTATCTTGACTGTTAAGACACCTCGCACAGATTTCTTGACACAAATCATTGATTATCTTAGTCACTTGTATTGTTTCTGTTAACCAGTCAAAATGTTATTTTTCCTATAGAAATGCTCAACAGAAAGACAAACAGGTTTGAATAAAAATAAAAAAAAAAAAAAAGCTGAGTGATTTTGGTATAATTTTAAAAGAAAAATTAATATTTTTATTCCGTTTATGCATTAATTGTGCCATCTTGATGTTGATAAATGAAAGTTTTTCAAATCTCTAGGACAAAGGTTTTTTTGCTGTTCGGCAGTTAATACTTCCATACAATAAAAACAAATTTAGTTYCAATTTCTACATAGATTATTCAAGTGATTTTGTAAAAGCGAAAACCAACTTGAAACTTCAATCGTARTTTTTTCCCCAAACCAGAAACCTATTCTAAATAACAATTTCTTTACTGCCTGAGAAGCTCCAAGATTATAAGAAACATAWACAAGTTAAATACAATTTCTATCCATGCATCTTATCTATTAATGCCACAGAATTTAACTTCTCTATTCCATCTTTGAAAACCCTGTTGGAAGGAACATCAGTTTCAATCCCATTACACTTCCAAATAGTTCAATTCTAGTCCTACTGCAGAATGAGATGTAGAGGGATTATAAATGTTTTACATTTACTGCACACCCATAAAAAATGGGGGTGCCTTTCCAGACATGTGTTTACACTGACTTTCCAAAAAGGGAAATTAAACTATCTTTTTGGTTCTCTTAAGAACTAGAAAGTCTTGTTACTAATGACCCTCACACTTGAGTAGATCTCAGAGAAGAGCAAAAAAAATCAGAAAGCCTGAGAAAGAATGTACCATGAAGTGAAATGAACTCTCAACACCAGGCATACTGGAGGGTAACCTTGGGTTTAGATAACATAGCTGCACCAGTGAATTATCAGGTTCCCCAAATAAATGAACAAAGGACAGTAAAGAATAAATAATGTTCTCTTGAGCTAGCCTGACCAGTGAGGAGAAGGAGAGCATGTGTGTGGCACAACCCAATAGGAAGTATAAAAACTGAACAACTAATAAACTGCAAAGAGGTCAGTGGGCTTGACCTTACTTCAATACATATATTCCATCCTGGTGAATGGAGATGTCCAGCAGTGAGMAAATGATCATACAGAGATCAGTAATAGGAATCACATTTTTCTTGTGATCTATATTGTAATTGCTTGTATTGTGATTTTAGTAAATTGCTGTATCCCTCTGCTAAATCAAAATCCCAAATGATGCCAAATAAATACTTTCATTTCAAACAGTAAGCTCTGAAACAACCTGGTCAAGGACTCTGACAAATTTAGATTTAAAGGGATGGGCAAGACATAAACCAACATTTGCAGRTCTTTCTGAACTGGATTTGTGTTTTACTGTATCTTCATAGGGAGACAATTCTGGAGRTGCAGATCTTGAAAAACCTGTATCCAGCTTTCCTTTAAGACAGCAAAATTCTAACAAATGCTACAAAAARGGTAATCATACAGAAATTCTGAAAAAAGTATCCAGCCTTATTCTGACCATTTATGGCTTTAAAAACAAGAATCAGTACTGGATACTCCTAGAACAAATCACAGATCTACACTCAAAACTCTCCAATACACACAGGGGATGCCTACCTGCATTCTAAAAAAAATAAGGGGACTTCAATTCCAATTTGTTATATTGTAATAAAATATATTATAATAAAAAATAAAAAATAACATAAAATTGGACCTTAAAATTATGGAGGCTGTAAAAGTGAGGGAGTAACACAAGTTTACAAGATAAGAACAGTATAGAGAAAAGATATCGCTGTGAAGTAGAAATCATGCTCTAGAAAGAAGCTGACTCCAGAAGCTGACTTCTTAAACAATGAGAGGTTATTTCAATAAAATCAGAACTTTCCTACAACTSTTACAAATTTTTAAGAGAAACAAGTTACAGGCTTTCCTCCTGGGCTCAGTAGAGCTCCATTTGACATTCTCTTAACAAGGACGGCAACTGGTCTCTACAATACATCCTCACTTGAGAAAACAGCAGTAACAGATCTTGACCTTTTTAGTAAACAAAAAGAACTGAGAATACAGCTAAATCTGAGTATTGCATTGCAAGGCTGTGTGGGAGGGAAAGAAGTGTTTCACAGACCAGGAAAGCACATCTCCAGAAAGTATTTTCACAGTTAATACCTCTTCAGCTGCTACCTAATGTGTATTTTCCATTTCTAATTCATCAGTCAAGAAAGCCTCTTTACTCACAAGAGCAAGCGTCTGATAAAAACAAATCTCCATTATAGGTAGCAGCTCTGAGAAACAATTCACTACTCAGAGAATGTTCTAAAACAAAATTATAATCCAATAAAACCTTTTCCTTTGCTCTTAGATCCAGGATACATGAGTCTCAACTAACAATCACAATGTGGAGAGCCACTAGCGCATGCACAAGACATGACAGAGAAGGGGATACTGCCTGAAGAAGTCCGAGATGAGTAACACAATGGGACTGCCACCACTCTGAGCAAAGCAATGTCCCTGCACAGGGGAGGGCCACTATCTCCAGCCATTTGGTCTGACCCTGAACTATGGCCGACAGACCACAAGAACCTCCCTTCCACCTCATCTCCATTCAAAAAGCTTTTGTAGTTATACTTCTCTTGCAAAATGTGAATACTTGGCATTCATTAGTAATGTAATTTTATTTTCCTCAACTTGAGAATAAGCAGATAAAACCTGAAGCAATACAATTTCTTTTTTTAAGAAAAGCTATGTGACAATATTTCTAACAGATAAACAACTTATTCATAWGTTTGAAAAAACAATATTAATTACATACCTGACCATCTAAATCAAAGGCCAAGCAAGCTATACCATGTGTGTGAACATCTTTTAGAACAGATACGGTTTGCACAGTGTATGAATCCCACACACAGATGTATGGTTCCTTCCCAACTTGACCTGTTGCCACCAACACACGTTCAGGATGCAAAGCAAGGCTGACAAAAAAAAAAGAGATATAAAATATTTTTGCATTAAACTTTTGTATTTGCCTAGTTGCATTATTTTTTTCCTTAAAAATTATTTTACAATGTTTTCCCATTGAAAATAGATTTTAAAAGTCATTTTGCATTACAGATTTCACAGTAGCTGTAAAATTATCTTAATATAGTACATACCAACATTTTGCTTGAATTTAAACCTTAAAAAGCCTTCTACATTTAGATTAATTGCAAAATAGTCATTAATCCTCTGTTCCGTAAATGTTTACTAATTTAGGTCAGATTTTCATGCCCTAAGTGAAATGCCTTTTTTCCCTTCTTTCTATTTCTTAAAATTTAAAGACACCAACAATGGGCATCAGAAATTAGGGTTTAACTACCTAGACATCAATCACCAAAAGAGAGAGATGTACACTTCCAAAAGTTCATTATTCCACATAGTATTCATGTCCTTTTTATGAGAGGACAGCTTTCTGGAGCTGTCTCTCCGCTGATTGTACAGCAACCAAAACATGACTAGCTTAGACCAGAGGCAATGACTACACTTCAGATGACTGAAGAACAATGAAGATCATCTTCAATGTCTTTATTTTAATATAGAACAATTGGGCATAGCTGGTTTTGAATAACTATTAACTTTCTGCATTTCTAGCATTGTAGAGAATATTCTTATAGCTTGTATTTCATGTTTTGCCAAATCTGGGACTAAGCTAGAAGACATGCTAATCAGCATGATATTTCTTCATTTTGTTTATAGCCAGCAAGCTGCAATGGAGGACACAAGATCTGAGGATTCAGATTTTGTAATACAGAAAAATAAGATTATATTCTAATAGAAACCCAAACAAGCTACTTGATTTCATGCCACATATACTAGATACAGAAGTCCAGAATGATGTAGAAATATGATACAGAAGTCATGAAGAAATAATTTGCAAAGTCGGCTGTTTGATTTGGCTAAAAAAATGTCCTAGCCTAATGAATGATCAGTAATGAATGATCTTGAGAGACTGTTGGACAGAACCACTAATAGCACGCAGTAAATATATTTATCTTTTCAAAATCATKTGGAAAGGAGTAGGGTTGAGTACTTTGCAAAGGTAAGATGATCTTACACCTGAGCATAGGTTTTGTCAAATGAAGTTCRAAGGGTAGAAGAAGGGAAGTCCATAAACATAGACAAATTAGCAAGGTTAAAGTGAACCAGGAAAATACCAGAAAAAAAGTATCTAATTCAAAAGATGTATACATTTTCTACATACAGAGGGAGCAAGAAAAAACTGCATTAGAAGATGATTAATATTTTCTGAAGTTACATGACAGTACACAATACACTTCTATATTTTTTCTGTTTTAATACAGCAATTCTGTTGGTTGATACTGCTTGACAAATTCCACATGCACAACTCTGAGCACAACTTCTAACTTCAAAGTTAAAAAAAAAAGCCTCTGAACCTTTCAATTTCCTGCGGGAATTTCTGCTCTTTGCTACTCTGTTATCCTCAGCACCAGGATAAAGCAACCAACATTTCCCCACTTTGCTTCACTTCACTTCCAGAGTTATTTCTCTAGTTCTTCCCTTCTTGTTTATTTGACAGAGTAACTTCACAATTGCAGAGAGGAGCTGGCAGGCAAAACTTACCACATTTCACTTCAGTTCTGCCACCCAATCCTGACTAACACCTGCACATCTCTCAGAGCACACAAAGGCAGATGGTGTACTCACAGGAAAAAGGAAAAGCATCTGGAGGGAGAGAAAATGCTGCATCCAAAATTCTCTCATTTTTAGAATGGCACTACAGAAAGGGAGCGATTCAACCRAATGGACAATAAAGAAATCGGAAAAAGTGAAAAGAACAAGCAAGAAAAAACAGACAGAAACTAAGAGGAAAATAGAAAAAAAAAACAGGGTCTCATGTCTGATTCATAATCTCTTCAATCTCCCTTTATTCCTTATCTGTGCTACTAGTGCATTGTGCATTTTTAGACAAGCAAAAACCACCCCACAACTACACCAAACCTCAGACACCACTCTGGACACACACACGTGCAAAAGAACCCGCACACCACACCTTACAAAACAATTTCCAGCAAACAAGAATTAGTTTTGTATGTTTTTAACTAAAATGCAAAGTCTTTAGAGAAATTCAATAAATCTTTAGATATGAAAGGRACAACAATAAAGGCACTACCAAGGAAGAGGAGAACACTCTCCTTAGCCCAAGTGTACCAACTAATTTCCTTCAAAGAATATTAGGTGAATATAGAGGAATTTTCCTCTATTTCTAATTAACAAATGGCAAATAATAACTAATAGCAATATCACAGTATTAATTCTTTCTACATCACAATACAAAATACTGGCTTAAACAACYGAGCTCATATTCTGCCTTGACAGGATCTGCAAATGAACCATGAATGATAAGACAATGTTTTTCCTTAATACTCAAGCCTTGGCTATTATTAATCCTGTGGGGCACCAAGCACAATTCAAAACTCAAGAATTAGACTCCAATTTCATGCAATATAGTGACTTTTTTCAGTTCTTTCATTGAACTATGAGTGATCAAGCAATCTCTATAAGCATAGCAATCAATACAAAAATACAGTATCTTGATCTAACCTCTAGAGTAAAAGCATTGATACAACTCACATATTTGGGAATGTTCATTGTTAGAACAGCCCTAAGCAAAACACAGGAAATAGCTTCCTAGTGAAGAAAGAAAAAGTTAGGTAGAATGGGTGCCCAGAAATGAATAACAATGAAAGCTTGCCATACATGYACCATATGAACTCATGGGTGGGATSCTGTTAGGAGGATCAAACAATGAGTTTGAGCTCTCTCTGGATACCCTGGGTAAGATTTTCAACACACTTCTGCTGAGGTGTTAACATTATACAGCTGTTGAGATGGTATCTGCAATAGCTGCTTGCCATTCATCCATTCAGTTCCTGAGATCAGGCGAAAAAGTATGAGTATGGCTTAGCTCTTAAGACAGCATTCAAAWCTGTTAATGTGGGACCTGTGGGCTTAGGCACACTGAGTCCCTCACAAATATTTTCTTGCTTTTCTTTTCTTTCCAAGGGGGAAGGAAGAGATTGCTTAGTGGCATAAGAAGCTTTGCACTCAGAAGGAGAGGACTCGTGTTCCCTTTGCAGCACTCAAAAGGAGTGGACTCGTGTTCCCTTTACTATCCTGGTAATGAGAGCTGGTATGACCTATCCAGGTTACACTGCTGAAACTGTGCTTGCATCTAGCCCACACAGCTAGACTGTAAACTGGTGCTTGATTTCTTTCCTCTTCCTTGAAGGATGACTAAGCTGATGAATGAGATACTGCTGCTTGTCTAAAAAAGGAAACAGATATTCCTAATGAGACAAGTTCTTCAGGCCTTCTTGGTTGCCTCTGGCTTCTCTGACCTGGGCTTTTCCATAACAGATGTTAGATATAATGGAGTGTCTCTGAAAAAGTAGATAGTAAGAATATGTCCAAAAGGCAAACATGATCATGGAGAAAAGCAGGTATTAGGCTAACAAAATGCTAAGTCAAATTAATTTTGAAATTGGCTCTAGAACTTTGTACTTCTCAGAAGAGTTAGAAGAAACAGAAAATTAAAAAAAAATGTGCCTGTCACTAYTGCAACAAACCAAACAGGTGGACTTGTAGTGAACTGAGATTTACACTGATATATCTGAGTGACAGGTCTTTTCCCAGACAATTTTCAAATTGGGCTGAAATGCAGGAGTAGAGATTTAGCTGTATACTGAAAAGGGATATGTTTCTCACTTCAGTACGTTCAAGCTCCTCTTTTTAACAGCGTAAAGAAAAGGCTCACTCTCCCTTTTTGAGCAATATGGAAGCATTTCAAACATTTTTACCAGATCCATGCCCTGTACTAAACCAATRTTATATTATTATATTAAATACTAATGACAGCCAATTTWAAAAAAAATAAATAAAACCTATCCATGTTGTGTCTGTGTGKAACAAGACTAAAGATATGGGCAGAAYCCTCCAATTTGTGTGAGGTTTGTAGTGGGAAGGGAACCTGAAGGAAAATATTCAATAATAAACTACTTGATAATAAAAGAAATTAAGATTTTTTTTTTTCATCTTTACTTGGTTTGTGCTGAGCATTAGCAAGCATTGATTAATACAGACAAGCTGCAGACAAGGATACAGTATTAAAGATGATGTTTCCTTAGCAACAATATTGGATGAAAATCCAAGAATATATTCATGTGACTACTCCTGAGCTTCATAAAACTAGGGCACCAGTAAAAATGCACAAAAGAATACTGCAGTAAAATAAAGCATCTCAGATACCTATTAATTAAGAGTTGATATCAAGTGTGAAATAGTTTCTCTGCTTAAATAAAGCAAAATATTTTCATGGTATGTTTACAGACATTTTACACACAGTTGAGAATATTTTCTAATTTGCTGTCATTTCCCAGAAAGAATAACAGGGGAAGCTACAAACMATTTTTGCCATACTATTTAAGATCTTAAAACAGAAGGAGCTGCAGCCAGCAAACATCTCTCATCAAAGTTTAAACAGACCAAGTCAGAGCACACTTACYTCCACAGACAAAACAGCAGCACTCATCATGGAGCATCACTACTGGCCTTCCATATAGTTATTGCCCCAGTGCCAGTAATATCAAATATAGCCTTCTGAAGATTCCTTAAATTGCACAAGCATACAACTTCAAAGTAAGAGTCTGAGCTGGAGACAGGGAGGGTGAACTCAAAGTGTACATTGCTTATTCCCAGCTGCAGTTTATCTCATTACCATTCCATATCTTCTCCTCTTGAATCTGAATGTTTTTAGACTAACAAGAAACATTTATAAACAACCCAGAGAATCTTAAAGATTGTTTGGGCTTCTATTTGWTCCTAAACTACCCAGAGGGGGCAAAAAAAAAGAAATCAGATGAACTTCAAAGAGAAGGAAAGAGTTAGAGAGTGAGTAAAGCAACACTGATGCCAAGTT